TTTACAATTTTTGATTAAATGAAATATGCACGAATTTTGAGAATGACTCATACGGTATATTGTACTGGTATATCTTGTTTTGAGAGAACTTATTACGAAAGCATATTTGGAATGTCTCCAATCACAAAGTACAGCTTTCAGAAATTTGTCATATGCAAGAGTTTCTCCAAGTCTGAGTTGTCTCAACTGTCTAACGTGACCACTGCAAATCTTATTGACATCATGACCCAACGACTGACTGACTGAGTTTGGTTTTACGCCGCTTTTAGCAATATTCCAGCAATATCACGGCGGGGGACGGGGGACACCAGAAATGGGCTTCACTCATTGTACCCATGTGGGGATTCAAACCCGGGTCTTCGGCGTCATGACCCAATGACTTGAACTACTCTTTTTTGTTCGTCTAAAAACATTCGGTCACCTGGTCTAATTCACGAAATTCCAAACAGTTAAAAAGTTCTTCACAACTTTCCAAAATGCGAGCTTCGTGTGATACTTAACATTTTCCAATGAGAGTTGGATGCTCCTAAACCCCACATAAATCAACGTCCCCTTAGTTTCCACCCGTACAGACATTGGTTTTCTTTCCACTAACACACATTTTGTAAGTGTTAACCTGTTTTGGGTCAGTTTTAGCAATCCTGTTCTGCATTTGCAAGAAGGTACAAGTTGGTTGTCTTCAAAAGGACCTTTCATTCTGTCCCAGAACAGAATCAGGAACTGCAAAGTTTATTTTGGAATCATTAGGAACATACACACCACTAGGCACTTTTCCCTCTGTCACTATGCCGGTGTTTTTCAGCCCAATTCTCCAAAATCACTTTGTAACCTCACTGTATCTCATCAGCACCGTGTTGTGGAGTGAATACCACTTCAGAAAACAGCATGAACGCAATATTGGCCAAGGGAAATGAATTTGAAGCAACCAATTGAAACAGATAATCATGCCCGACATCCTTTAAGTTATTTTAGACTAGTGGAAGCAACTCTATCATTTCTTTCACAGAACCTCCATCAAAACTCCCACATGCAGGAATAACAATTGTTGACAAGGTCCGAGTGCTAGCTTCATGTGTGGAAAATGTTTTTGTATTCCTATCTAGTTCCTCTGTTAACTCATTCATGCCAAACACACCCTCCTTTATATCACATTTAGACTTTTTCTTAAGGGGGCTGAATATTTCAGTTTGAAATTTTGGGTTTGAAGAAAACAAACTTAAGATAAGATATTAGAATTTGTATTTTAATTCACTGGATGGGTGATTGATAATACAGTGGTCACTAATAATGTTGAAAGAATTTGTCCGAAAATCAGAATAATAGCAAACTGAAGTGTTCATTTAGTCGACCTGTGTTGAATTTAGAAGTAAGAGAAAATGATGCAAAATATATAATTAGGAACTTCAATTATTTAGAAATGATAACGTGAACTAACTAGAAACCGTACAGTGATTTGTTTTGAAAGCGCTACCAACCAACTGTATTAGCGGGTATCAACTTGTACGGTGATGATGCATAGGCGGGTAACGTTTAACTCTCGTGTAAAGAAACGAATACTCTATGTTAGGAATATTTCACACAATTTGAAAGGTTATTTATCACATATTTCATATGTTGTCAAATTATACCAAGAAACTGCAAAATTAAGGTATATTGTGACTTTATTTCCGATGTTTTCTGCGAAGGAGCAAAATCGGCGATGTGCTTTTGATATTTGAAAGAATTTAGAGGGTCGTTATTCAAATTAGCAGTGAATTATAGTTTAAAAGAGTAAGAAGAAGTGTTTCGCTCACTTTAGTACTTGAACTATACTCACAGTAACCAAAAAACTAGAAAAAATGAGCCTGTGACAACATTTCTATCAACCAAAGCATGAACGTACAGCACACTATATCCGGTTTGCACTGTATGAGACCCCACTGTGTTAAGGGACAGCTCATAATTTATGATGATTTTTATGGAGAAGCATGTACAATGTGAACGACCCCCATAAAATTTATGTACAAAATAAGTGAACACCCTCCCTTCCCCACCCTGCATGTCATGTACAAAATCAATGACCCCCCTCCTCCCAACCCCTGCATGTCATGTACAAAATTAATGACCCCCTCCCTTCCCATAATTTCTTAGCGTAATTTTAAACATAGTGTTATGTATAAACTTGCTGAACACCCACCCTAAAACATGTGTACAAAACTGCTGAAACACACACACACACACACACACACACACACCAGAACAAAATGGGTGAACCCCCTTATAATCACTGACCATGAAACATATTTTATACTATTACAATACTTTATCATTATGTTCTCAAACCTTTGTTGCAATACCTCAATTAAACATGCCACATTAAGTTTCTATATCATTTTATTTATCTGTAAACCATTGGCATACAGCCATGCACAATGAGGACTGGGAGCCTGAAAGTATGGTGTAACAGCAACTAAGAACATAATGTGGCACACACACAGAGCTATTATGAATTTATGATGTTCGCACTTGTGCAGAAACCCTCCATTCAATATATCACAATATACAGTACAACCAGAAATTATTGAGAATTTAAGATTGTAATTATTTATATGTTTTTCACTCATTACTCACGTATTAAATGTGAATATTAGCAGAACATAACTCCAGATTCAAAGACAGGTGAACAGTTAGTATTTTGTCAAGTCACTATGGGCAGCAATGCAGGCTTCAATGCGGAAGGGCATACTACTGATCAAAGAAGTTAGAAAGTCGTGGACCATGCTGTCCCAATATCGGACCACTGTTATTGACACTTTCCTTCATAAGTCCCCAAACATTTTCTATTGGATTGAGGTCAGGGTTATAGCTTTGCCAATCTAATAATGTCAAATTTTGGGTCCGAAACCAGGCCTGTGAATGCTTTGAACGATGTTTTGGGTCGTTGTCCTGCTGGAAAATCAAAAAAATTTCCATAGAACATGTGAGCAGATGGAAGTAAATGTCCCTCGAGAATATCCGTGTACCGGTCACTGTTCATATTCCCTTCAAATACACAGAGGGGCGTTGCCCCTAACACAGATATGCCACCCCACAAGTTAAATTTCGGACTGTACTTTGGGCACTGATACAAAGGTTTTTCAGTCTGTTTGGTCCAGAATTTCAGTGTATTAGGAAACAGCCACACAGAACTTTCATCTGAGAAAATCACATTGTCCCAGTTAAAATTTCTATGCTGTAAGCACCAGTTCAACCTTCGCTCCTTTTGTTCAGGTTTCATGATTGGTGATGGAATTCCTCGACTTATCTACCAACCCATTGCATGCAGCTCAGTTCTAATTGTCTCCTTACAGATAGCCACAGTTCCTCTATCAATCATATCCAGCCTTAAGTTTTCTAAACTCCTTTGTTTGTTTTTAGAAACAAGAATACCAAGCCGCCTCCTGTCACCGACAGTCAATTTTCTGGGCCTACCTGCGCCTCCCTGGTGCTCAATGCCATATCCATTTGCAATATTTTTCAAAACATGATAAACAGTGGACAAAGGGATGCCTGTTCTACTTGAAAACACTTTAGCTGATCTGATGTCCTTGTTTTAATACTCTAAAATCAACTTCCTCTTCACTAAATCATCCATACTGAGGATCACTGAAAATGTCGTCTGCTAGCAAGTAAACGAAGGGGAATAACTCTTCACAAACTAATGAAAAAGGATTAACGGAGTTGTCTCTCTTGAATGAAACCAAGCACTTGATAGCTGGTCAAGGTTGTTTATACTAGAAATCCAATTAAACATATTCCTAAACTTCTCAATAATTTCTGGTCATACTATATATTGCAATATCTCTTAATTATTGCAATATATCGCAATATGAGAATCGGCAATATCCAGCCCTACGAAATAGCCACTGGCAGGCTAGCCCGTGGCTGGTAAAGTCCAATCGGGCCCCTAAATCTCCACAGTCACTGGCCCGACTGGCTAGTTCAAAATGTTCATCATATGTGCAGCTTATTGATTAAACCTGTGTCATGCCGACAATATCTTATTCTCATCTATTTTGTAATCTTTGCTTAGTTTCCACATTTAATTTTGGGCTGGTAAATTATTTTCTGGGCTAGTAACTTTCAGGCATAGCTAGCCTGACTGGCTAGCAAAATTTTGAATCTATTTGGCACACCGACTGCATGTACTTGGCAATATCAGTATCAAAATGGTCAGTATTATGATGAGTATCAATACTATCACCATAATATTCCAAATAAATTTATCCTAATAGTAGGAACAACATACAATTACAACAAATCAATAAAGAAATAATGTGAACAATGCAATGCTATACACAGACCCGATAGATTATTGCCGACACAAGCAGGATCGATCTTTTGATCAATGGTTCCAGCACTACTGTTTACACTTAGTATGCTTACATTGTTACAGGTTTAAGTAAGTTACAATAACCACAATAACTGATAGGGGTGAAACGATATGCTCTTACGACGGTAGAGTACGTATTGCGGTACAAGGCCTTCGGTTCGGTTCGGTCCGGTTTGGTTCGTTCCGTTTCAGTTCGGTATACGAGACATTATCATAATGCAGAAAACTGACAACAAGAGGCAAACCTTACATTGTTTAATAACATGGGAAACAAATAATCATAATCTTTGTTATTTTGTTATATTTGCTGTTCGTCTGATTAGAAATAACTGAAACAGAAACAGAACTCAGCTATTGATTTGGTATCTGCAGTTGCTGTCTTATTGACTTTGTAAGTAGATGACTTGAGGCGATCTCGAACTTACTTCGAGGAAAATAGCGGCCGTCAAGCAAAGAAATACATAGATTTTGACCAAATGATTCAATTTCTAAACATTTTAGAAAAGGTTAAAAATGATTAATAAAATGACGGTACGAAAACCGAAAACACGAAGTTTTGGATTGCATTACGGTATACCGAACCGAAGGCAAAATACTGTGGTTCTACTATTAAATACTGCGGTATACCGTTTCACCCCTAATAACTGACAGAAATGATGCTACCTGTCGTGTGACTGTGATCTCGTCATACTGTTCATATCCCAAAGGGCTCTGTTTCTTGTCGTTGTTGTCAAATGTTATGCTGACAGTTGCCTTGATGACACCAGCTTGACCACTTTTGTACACCAAATCTTGTAAGTTGCCAGCACGTACCTGAAACATGTCAAAAAGAAAATTAAATATAGTGCATTGTGATAGTCAATATCGTTGCGTTGATAACAGTAGCATATATTTCATTGTAATAATTTTGTGCGGTTTATCAAATTGGCGCATGTCAGCTCGCCCAAGCTACAAAACGACCAAGCCAATTTGGTCAAAATGCCCCAGATTTTTGGTCAAATCGCCCCAGGGGGGTAGTCAAAATGCCCCAGTGTATTTAAAATGATTAAATATATGCCATAAATGCATAGTTTTTGTCAACTTCCATATTATATACTTCGTATAATATTATATAGTAATATTTCTGATAGATTTTCTATTAGTAAACTGATAACAGCAAAAGTATAATTCATGTATAAACAACACTATAATACCATGTATTTGCATGTTATTAATGCTTTTGTAAAGAATTACAAGAATAAAATGAAATGGTTGTATAAAATGTTTATTGGCCATAAATGCATAGTTTGACCAAAAATCTGGGGCATTTGGACCAAATTGGCTGGGGCGTTTTGTAGCTGGGGCGATTTGACTGGCACCCTATCAAATTAGCTCCATTACATACAATAATGACTATGATGCACATTCAGAAACATAGAAGTAGGAAATGGGTATGAATCAGCTTCTTTTCGTCTGTTGTATGAATTCACTGTGGGTAAAGTCACTGAGCTGTGTCAGATGTCTCTTGCAACACTATTGCTTTCATATTTATTGTGTGAGGAATGCATGAAGTGATGCAGTTCATACCAGTTACAATGAATACTATGTGTTGATTGTCCCACCATGGCATGTTCATTGCAATCACCGATCATATTTACATGTACCATACATTGACAGAAACAGAATCGTTTTCATTATAATAATGAATCTGTGACTCAATCTAACGATCAGCCCTATGACAAATTCTGTTGCTGACAGTGACTGACATAACAAAACTCATCACAAACCAGGTCAAGACTTTATCAGTCAGGGTCGAATAAATGTGATCACACCTGATGATCATTGACAAAGTTATGTTTCATCTGATCTACTTAACATGTGAAGAAAATCACTTACGTGCGAAAGGTTGGTTATGCCGAGTAGAAAACAAATAGCATCGAGGATGTTTGACTTTCCACTTCCATTCAAACCTGTAATAGCGTTGAATAATGGATCAAATCCATTTATTTCCGTTCGTTGGGCGTATGACTTGAAGCCATCGACGACCATTGACAAAATGTGCATTTTGTTTTACTGTTGATTACAACATCAAATTCAAATGTTTTTGGTTGTTACTGTCAATAAAGTCGTAAATGGCGCTCAAATCCGTTTAACCTTTTCTACGCATGCGCCCTTTCCCACAATGCAAAATTGAAAACAAATATGGCTGCGCCCATGGACATTTTTGACGCACATGATGAACACATTTCTTTCCAGTATTTGTGTACAAAGCGAATTTGAAAGTCTAAATTAAGGGTTGTAAGAAACGAACACATACCCAAGATATGTGTAAGGATTGATAACTCTGACAAGTTTGTAAAGGTATTTCTCGCGATTAGAAAATCGTTGTTGTTACATGTAGAGGAAGGGAGATAAATCTGTTGATTCAACTTCTCATTCCCTTAACCAGCTGATGACAGAAGTAACATCAGAAACCTTTTTCACGTTAATCCATGTTTACATGTAGTCTATTGAGACTATGCATTTTAAAGTAAATATACAAAGACTGCCAGTGATCAGCCTATGAGAAGATCCTGATTATTGGATATTTTAGTTTCATCTTCTTCAATGTTTATGCTTTTGAGTTTGTACATTTACTGCAGCAGCCTGGATACTATTCTCTACATTCATTTAGGTTCACTATGTGCTCTTGTCTTACAGAACGCCCATGTGCCCACAAATTATGATAAGTGCTAGACTGTTTATTTTTTTACTTTAAAAGGCGAAACTGTCTTTTCGAGTTTCCTTACCATTAAGCATGTATCTCTTGTAGAGTAATATGTCATCAAATTGACCTCGCAGACAAATTAGTGTTAAGTTATTAGAGTTGAGCTTTTACACACCAGCATAGTACCTTGTCAAAATCCTCATTGTTGTCATCAGCTTAATCATTTAGATATTATTCAAGGACGTGCTTACATTAATTTTTATTTTCAAGATTGAAGACTGAAGATGACATCAGCATTTTTCTCACCTGATGTTGTGAATCGGAAGACAGATGTTGATGTTCAGACAGATGTAAAGAATGATGATGTCAGTAGAGTGTATGAAATTCAGAGATGTACTGAATGGATAAAATCTGGCAATTTCTCAAGGGTAATTATACATGCACTTGTTTTTCATGGTAATATCTATCTCCATATGGTAAGAGTTCCTCCTGTTCCCCCATCCCAAATAATGTTTATAAATTAACATATACTAAAATCATTAACAAAACTTAACACAACAATAACTAGAGAACTCACAAAAATGACTAAAAGTCCAAACTTTAAGTTAGGGTTAGGTTTTGTGTTAGGTTTAGGGTTAGGTTTAGAGTTAGGCTTAGGGTTGGGGGAACGGAAGGAACTCTTTCCCTGCATATTATGTTCTCCTAGAAAAATACACCATTTATGCACTGAAAATGTCATCTGACAAAAAGTGACATCATATATACCTGAAGTTTTCTATTCAATTAAATATTCTTATGTCAATGAAGGTTGTGGTATATGTTAAAACAATGTTGTATAATATTTATCTAAACATTATAATCATACATGATATGTATGAAACTGAAAAGTGTGAACAACTCAAGTAAAACAACTATACTATTATGATATGAATGTTAACGCTAGAGCTTATTCTATTCAGTGTTGACCATGTTCACTGTATGGGAAAGTAGCCTTCCAGCATCTGCAGTATGTAAACATTGGGATATTCAGACTTTAGGGCGTAAATCTGATTATGAGATATATAATGATGTTAATGATATATAACCCAGAAAGATCTGGTTTATTGTGTCTTTATGTCATCCAGTCAGTTCTCTTTATTTGCAGGTAGCAATTCAGCTTCCAGATAATCTTCTCTGTGACTCAGCAAGGATTGTACAGGAACTAGAGAATTCTACAGCTGCCAAACTGTTCATCCTGGGTGATACATCGTATGGAAGGTACATGTTTAGTTTTCTTTATGATCCATTACCGACAAGAATGCTAACATGATTAAACCATACCCTTTACTCTGTGTTATTTACTCAAAATATTCTTCTTAGAACTGTGTTTATGTTATCTAATCATTCCTGATGCAGTAAAATATATACTGATAAGCTTTCCTGCTTCTATTCTGATGTCACTAACAGGACATAATTGTATTAGTGAGTTGGGTTTTACGCCCTTTCAGAAATATTCCAGCAATATCAATGGAAATCAGTGAGACCTATGACAAGAACTCAAACACTCTTTCTTATGACACCAGTGTTACAGGTGCTCTTCTGGCTTTCAGTAACTGCAAGAGTGGATTAATAAGTCCTTCCCATGGCATACCAGTGTATTCATGGCCTATCTCCTCCATACCTGTATGGGGGGATGGTGGGATAGCCTAGTGGTTAAAGCGTTCGCTTTTGAAGCTGAAGACCTGGGTTCGATTCCCCACATGGGTTCAATGTGTGAAGCCCATTTCTGGTGTCCTTTGCCATGATATTGCTGGAATATTGCTAAAAGCACATATACGCGGGCCTTAAGAGGGATGTATGAGGGTAAATATCCCTGCCTGGAAATTGATATCGTTTTGACACAGATCTTTCAGTGTTACAACTCCCATAAAATGGAACACTCTACCAGTCCATCTGAAGCAATCCCAGTCACTGGAACAGTTCAAGTCTCCTATCAAAACTCATCTGTTAAACTGCTATCTAAGCTTCCTACTGTTGACTCTCCTTGCTTGATCTTTGTAATGTTGATCTTTCTAAACAAGCTGAAGTAGTTTCAGTCTCTTTTAATAACGGACAAGAATCTTGAAACCCAGGTCAAGTAAACAGTAAACATAAACTTATTGTTATTCACATTTTCAAACTCAGAGTCGCTTGTCGTATTTAAGAGATAACAGGGGCGCATAACTCTAAATCAAAGTGAACAAATTTGGTACTTCCTGTATTTTACGCTGCGCATTTATCAACGTAAGCCAATTACTATACTATCAATAGTCACACATACTATCGATGCATCGATAGTTTTTTGTTTCTACCATCGATTTATTGCTATCGGAGCCTTAACAATTGCAATCCATCGATAGTTAGATGCATTGTTACAGCACTACATCCATATGGCTGGAATATTGCTGAGTGTGGCGTTAAACAACAAACCAACCAACTATAGATGCGGGTTGGTAAGGGAATAATTTTAATAAATTGTTTTGTTCCACAGTTGTTGCGTGGATGAGATTGCCGCCCAACACAATGCTGCTGACTGTATAATCCATTTTGGACGCTCATGTCTAAGTCCAACCAAGCGTTTGCCAGTTTTGTTCATCTTTGGACAGAGGCCAGTTGACCAATCAGATTGTGTTGTCAAGTTCCAGGAGTTGTTTCCTGATCAGGAGAGCAAAGTAGTTTTCCTGTATGACACATACTATGCATACATTGTGGGTAAGTATACTTTACTGGATATTGTTAGTGTACTGGCTGAGGCACAACTGATCACAACACCTATATAAAACATGTAGACTGACATCAGAACCATTAAACATTTGTCAGGCCTTTTTCCGGTTATTTTGTTTCATGGATCCTCTGAAACAGTATACTGAGAAAATGGAAAATATAATTGAAAATTATAATGTATTTGACATCTTTTATCACTGCCTGTTCGAAAAACATTTGTCAAAGAAATGCATACTTTGTCTTGTCATAATTTTATCATCGCCCCTACCAAAATTTAAGCAACTGAAAAGGGCCTTACATCCCCAAAAAGAACTTACTATGCTTAAAACTTTCATGTTTTCTTCCAACTTGTAAATGCCTATCAGACATTTACAGAGACTCGGTTGTCACCTATTGAAGACCATGCAGTCTTAGACAAGTAAATAATGTCCAGATATTGATTGGTTAAGGGTATTTAACTCTGAATCTGTGCCGCATAAAGCCCATACCCTTCTAATGGAAGATAAATGGAAAATAATGTGTTTTTCAGACACATATTTTGCAATAATGTAAGAAATAAATACATTGTTACTTGTAGATGATATCTTCAATGAACTACAGAAGTCACACAAGTCTTTAGTGTTATCAAGGCTCCTGACCCCTAATTCTGAATCTGGTTCGACCCAAGACAAGTCAAGGGCATCAGTCTTCACCAGGTGCAACCGAACTCTTCAGCTTGGTGATTCTGAAACCATAGACAGCTACAGTGTCTTCTACCTTGGTGGGGAAAGCCTTGCTTTGACTAATCTCATGATGAACTTTAACAAGTGTGCCTTCTATACATATGACCCAGAGTCCTGTATCGGGAGACGAGAGACCCTGAATGTAAACAAGGCTTTGATGAAGCGATACTACATGATTGAGCGAATCAAGGATGCTAGTATTGTAGGGATTGTTGCGGGGACATTAGGAGTTGCCAATTACTTGGAGGTTATCAGTAGGTTGAAAAAGCTTATTAAGATTGCTGGTAAGAAAAGCTACACATTTGTAGTTGGAAAGCTGAATGTTGCCAAACTTGCAAATTTTATGGAGATCGATGTTTTTGTGCTGGTGTCGTGTCCAGAGAACACCTTGATTGAATCATCTGAGTTTTATAAACCAGTTGTGACACCATTTGAGGTGGAAATAGCTCTAAACAGTGATAGGGAATGGACTGGGGACTACATCACAGACTTTCAAGAAATTCTACCAGGTGAGTGTTCGATTGATGGCATGGTGGCCATTGTGAAAATGTCTGGGGAAGGGAGGTAACTCTTGAATCACAAGTCCATATACTTGCCTTTGAATTTTATGATTGATTACATGTTCAAACAGATATAACTTTACTGTGTTAGTTTTGTGTATGATCCTTACTGCAGACACAGACAAAAATTATGAAATTATTAAACCTTCTTGTGTGGTTGATTGTAGTGTTGTTTGTTTAATTGTATTATGTATTTGGTTGAATTGTTCTGTTTGGTTTGTTATTCTTTTTTTTCTTTTTTGAATTTATTGTAATGTTTGTTTATTATGCAGTTCATATGATTGATTTTTCTGATTTTTAATGATACAATTTACAAGTTTAAAGCTGCTGCCTCTATACATGATGTATTGCACCGATGAGAAATGTTTTGAAACAAGCCAGTCATTTGGTCCTAATTAGCTCACACTGACTACCACCGCCATCAACAAAATGCTGGATTGCAGTATATCAGATACCTTCAGCCATTTTTGGGAGGATTTGTGCATCCTGTTTCCTTAGTAACAGCTTCTAAGATATTCAGACAATTATTAGGCATTGCACTGACATGGCTAAACAAAGAGACAATTTGGAGTGCTTGTCGCCCCGACAAGTCCATGTGAGAAAGACCTCTGGAGTTAATGCCATTTTCAGTTACCGAAGTTTATACAGTATATCATGTGTTGGTTGAAATGTGGCCTCAATGGAACATGTACACCTGGTAGTGGTAACTGATGTGGTTGCTGCACACATTATTTTGAACTATTTTAAAAAAACACATTGTTGTATAACATTGTACAACAAGCAAACAAATATGGCCGAGATTTATCCAGTATGAAGCAAGTGAACCACCAAATCATCAAATTCAGTTTTGAATATTTTGCTTTACTGAGCATTTAAGTATTCTGCCTCTGTAATATTATGACTTTTCCGTTTTCTCAGATTCGGAGTAACTGATGCAATCTGTATAAGGTTACTAAAACAATCACTGGAATTTCTGGTCCAACCTTGAATATTTACAAACCTCAGCTGTAATATTGCAAAAAACCTAACACATCTCCTATCCTTTTAAACATTTCTAAAATGATCCATCACCATGGTTACAGGTGCTACATCATATGTGGAGATTCCAGAAGACCAGGATGCTGAAACTGTAGCCGACGTGTCCCTCATCAGCAACCAGATACGCATGATGGGGTCACATGATGAGGCTGAAGGTTTGGCAACCAGTACAGCTCTGGTATCCCGGGACCAGAACATGGCCGTCGCCACGGTCAAGGCCCAGTCAGCTGGTATGTAGAACAGTCCTTGTATCATGTGTATTATAAGCGGGTATGGTTCTACGCTGCTTTTAGCAATATACCAGGGTACTAGGGAAATTGGTTTCACACATTGTACTGATGTACCATTGTACGCTTTGTTGTGAGATGTTACTATGGAGGCATAAGTACTAAATAATACTGAAATCAGTTCTTGTTAATATATAGGGGTGGTGGGGTAGCTCAGTGGTTAAAGCAATTGCTCGTCTCGCCGAAGACCCGGGTTCGATTCCCCACATGGGTACTATGTGTGAAGCCCATTTCTGGTGTCCCCCGCCGTGATATTGCTGGAATATTGCTAAGAGCGGCGTAAAACCATACTCACTCACTCTTGTAAATATAGGGATGGTGGGATAGCCTAGTGGTTAGAGCACTCGTCACCCTGAAAGCTCGTCACCCTGAAGACCTGGGTTTGATTCCCCACGTGGGTACAAGGTGTAAAGCCTATTTTTTGGTATCCCGCTGTGATATTGCTGGAATATTGCTGAAACTAAACTCACTCACTCGGAAATATGCATATGGCGAAAAACATCATACAACCTCATAATTTTCATAGTATGAATATGTTACCTGTAACCATAGCAAAGGAGGTTATCCAAGCCTCAATGTTTACTACTATGTGGATAAATTGATCCTCAAGGAATACTTAATGGCAAATCTAAATGCAGAAAGAATGAAAAGTGTAGTTTATATACGTAAGCAGACATGGCAAAATATTGACTCATTTTGTAGAGCTGAAACTGTGGTCATTATAAGATGTTCACTGGTCTCGAAGGGGACATGGGCTGATGTACCCTTGATGGTGACATTGAATATCACGTTGAGGTATTGCGTTCCATTCTTAATGGATGGCCTGTTCCAATACATCAACATTTTGTACTGGAGGATCTCTGTGGCGTTTTCTGCCACCCATAATGTCTCACACATGCTCTTTGGGAATGAAATCTGGACTCCTGGCGGGCCGTGTTAGAGTTGCTACCACCTCTTCATGTAAGAAATCAGAGATGGCACATGCACAGTGTGGCCTAGCATTGTTGTCCATGATGACTAGCCATGTGTTGAGAGGATGGTCATTGAAATGTGGTACGACAACCCTGTCTAGGATATCAGCGATGTGCCATTGTCCATTCAGAGTTTGTCTGATTGTCACAAGGTCAAGTTTAGAGTCATGTGAGAGTCACCACGGCATGATGAACCCCCTAGATATTTTGCTGAATGATGGGTACTGCAGGTGGTGCTCAGCTGTGATCGTAGCATGTGCATATTGTAAATCAATGGGTGTGCACCCAAAGGATGGAAATGATCATACAGAAAAAACATAATTATGATAGGAATGTTAATGGGTATAGGGGGTAAACATAAGATTTGTTGCAATACTTTTTTCCATGTGTATACATACATCAATAACAGTAACATAAACTCAGTAGACATCAATAAGAAATCAGCGACATCGTCTAGCACAATCAGGCAATAGAAACCACACCTCTGTTATCAGCCAATCAGGAAAAAAGTTCACTCACAGGCATAACCAGGGGTGGAAATAACTTTAAAATTGCTAGCGTCAGTACAGTGGCACATGTAAAATCACTTGCCCTGATCATTTTTCCACTATACCGTCAGTTTTCTTGTTGAATTTTTAAATAAACAACATTATTAAATTTAGAAAGTCAACTGGACACCCGTACAGCGTGATATACAAATTTGCTTGCCCGACAGAAAAAAACACTGGACTTGGATGTCGGGCAATGGGTTATTTCCACCCCTGATAACCTTATGAATTTTTATTTATTTTTTTAAACATTATCATACAAAAACTCCAAAGAATGCCAACCAATTGCAATGGATTTACTTGCCATGTGACGTGTGAAGATCCAAATAAGAACTTATCTTCAGGAACCACTGCTTGTCGTAAGAGGCAGCTAACAAGATAGGTTGGTCAAGCTCACTTGATACACGTCACTGTGTCCTAATTATTTAGATTGACGCTCATGATGTGAGTCACTAGATTATCTGGTCCAGATCTAGTATTAATGGACCGCTAACATATAGCTTGAAAATTGCTGTGAGCTGCATTAAATAACCAACCAACAAACAAACTTGGCAATGTACTTCTGTTTTCATAACAGTTGAGCTTTACGTTTTCATAAGGTCTTTCATATGTGGCACAATACAACACATGAGAACTTGTCATTTGGCATACAAGAAGGTGTATTCACACTCTACCCATGTGATAAATCTAAGTGATGTAAAAGAAAAATGAAGTAAAAAGTAATTTTTATCAGAACTTCAGATCCTTTTTCCCAAGCATACTCGAGGTGATCTTGATGCAGAGTTTCTATTTTCCTCTCCTTTAAACAATATTCATTGTCATCAATCATCAGTAGTCCTCTGTATGTATGTATTTGTTGTAGGGGAGTTTCTGGGAGCAAGAACATGGCAGGGACTTGAACGTAACCTTGGAGATACACCTGTTACCAAGGCAACAGAAGGAAGAAGTGGCATTGCTGCTAGTTATGAGGATGAACCAGCATAAATGTGTCATACTGTATTTTATTTAATAAACACCGTATCACCCTGGTGGTAGAAGCACATCAGTGATTCTTGTCTACATTATATATATTGGCGACCCTTTGCTAGGGTGGTCAGGCTACGTAACTTGGTTGTATCATGCCAACACAACCGGGTGTGGATTGCAATAAGCTGGAGAATTTCTTGTTACCGCTAATTAGGTGGAGGTTTCCTTACATCAACTTCTAAGGTTTCTCAGCCTCTGGATCAGTGGGCGATGGGGGCCTTGTGAATAAAGCAGTGGCTTGTCATGCTGAAGAACCGGTTCAATTCCCAATGTCCATTTCTGGTGTTCCCTGCCGTGACATTGCTTGAATATTGCTAAAAGCAGCGTGCAACTCCCCTCCACTCACTCACTCACTCAACATATCCGCAATACAATGAGCGGTGTGCCGCTCCCCTCCGCTCACTCACTCAACACATCCGCAATACAATGAGCGGCGTGCCGCTCCCCTCCACTCACTCACTCACTAACTCAACACATCCGCAATACAATGAGCGGCCTGCCGCTCCCCTCCACTCACTCACTCACTTAACACATCCGCAATACAATGAGCGGCATGCCACTCCCCTCCACTCACTCACTCAACACATCCGCAATACAATGAGCGGCCTGCCGCTCCCCTCCACTCACTCACTCACTCACTCAACACATCCGCAATACAATGAGCGGCCTGCCGGTCCCCTCCACTCACTCACTCACTCACTCAACACATCCGCAATACAATGAGCGGCCTGCCGCTCCCCTCCACTCACTCATTCAACACATCAGCAATACAATGAGCGGTGTGCAACTCCCCTCCACTCCCTCACTCACTCACTCAACACATCCGCAATACAATGAGCGGCGTGCCGCTCCCCTCCACTCACTCATTCACTCACTCAACACATCCACAATACAATGAGCGGCGCTCGCCTCCCACTCACTCACTCACTCAACACATCCGCAATACAATGAGCGGTGTGCAGCCCCTCCCTCTCTCATTCACTCACTCAACACATCCACAATACAATGAGCGGTGTGCTGCTCCCCTCCACTCACTCATTCACTCACTCAACACATCCGCAATACCATGAGCGGCATGCCGCTCCCCTCCACTCACTCACTCACTCACTCAACACATCCGCAATACAATGAGCGGCGTGCCGCTCCCCTCCACTCACTCATTCACTCACTCAAGACATCCCCAATACAATGAGCGGCGTGCTGCTCCCCTCCACTCACTGGCCCGCTCACTCAACACATCCGCAATATAATGAGCAGTGTGCCGTTCCCCTCCACTCACTCACTCACTCAACACATCAGCAATACAATGAGCGGTGTGCAACTCCCCTCCACTCATTCACTCACTCACTCAACACATCCGCAATACAATGAGCGGTGTGCTGCTCCCCTCCACTCACTCACTCAAAACATCCGCAATACAATGAGCGTTGTGCAACTCCCCTCCACTCACTCACTCACTCAACACATCAGCAATACAATGAGCGGTGTGCAACTCCCCTCCACTCATTCACTCTTAACACATCCGCAATACAATGAGCGGCGAGCCGCTCCCCTCCACACACTCACTCACTCAACACATTCGCAATACAATGAGGGGCATGCCGCTCCCCTCCACTCACTCGCACACTCACTCACTCACTCACACAACACATCCGCAATACAATGGTTGTACCAACATATTTAATCAACAGGCATATCTGAAACATTATGAACAAGATAATCGTTGTTTGTTTTAATTCATTTCCCGTTTTTAATCTCAAAACAATGCCCAAACTACATGTAGGTCAAGCCGCATCCTGTTTTTGCAATGAATCACCTCATTGGCACTGCTGACCCCTGGGTTAGAATTGGTCTTCAGTAAACCATTGGTTGTCAGGTATCCCAGTAGATTGATGCTCTTGCTGTTGATCATTGGATTGTCTGATCCAGACTTGATTATTTACAGACCGCCCAGATATCGCTGGAGTACATAAACTTAAACTCACTCAAAGGCACTGCTTTGCTCTCATTGTTAAGGAGTACATTTTCAACAAATGTCATGTATTTCAGGGTTTAAGGATAACTAAAATTGCACAACTTACAAAATATTGAGAATTTCGAGAGCTACTACACTAAATGTGACTTGTGTACAATCGCTTATAAAATTGACATGAATCTACTTGCTATTCAATTACCCATAAGTGCTTGTTTCAAATCAACCTCAATCCCTGAAAGCTGTTAGGGATAGGATGAATTATAAAGTTATTCAGAATGTTACAACAATACAGGGGGCGGAGGGGTAGCCTAGTGGTTAAAGCGTTCGCTCGTCACGCCGAAGACCCGGGTTCGATTCCCCACATGGGTACAATGTGTGAAGCCCATTTCTGGTGTCCCCCGCCGCGATATAGCTGGAATATTGTTAAAAGCTGCGTAAAACTGAACTCACTCACTCACTCACTACACCAATACGGACACATGTAAAGGAAGGAAATACGTCTTGTTTCAATGCATTATTCGTTCCCTAGTTCCTCTTTCATACCGGTATGTTTCACATATGTTTGCCTCATGAAGTATGTGTAGTCAGATCTACCCTTTGGCCCTTGTGACAAATTTTCTCCAACTTTTTTTTTTATGGGGGGGTTTATTAAGAATAGAACTTATCAACGAACAATATAACAGGAATGCGTAAAACCCATATACCAATCCCCAAGGACAATTTCAGACAAAATTTGAAATGCATGAATTAACTATGCATTTACTCATGCCACCATGTCCTGGCAGACTTTTGGGGCGGTGGGGTAGCCTAGTGGTTGAAGCGTTTGCTCATCACGCTGAAGGCCGGGTTCGATTCCCCACATGGGTACCCTATGTGAAGCCCATTTCTGGTGTCCCCGGCCGTGATATTGCTGGAATATTGCTAAAAGCAGCGTAAATCTAAACTCACTCACTCACTGACAGACGTTTAACAGAACTTTTTAGAAATAGATCACACGACCCAACACTGCCGCTGTTACAGGTCATTGGCTCCCTCCCTCTGCAAGCCTTCTGCGTTCTGCTGTTTATTTTGTTGACAGTTACATAGACAGATTCTTTAATACAAATGCATAAAATCGGTGATTTACAATGTGATTAGGTTGTCTGACAAAACATCCACTTGCACAGTTTGAGATCGATTGGGTCATTGGATGAAGAGATATTTACAAAAAACCGGGTCCACATGCATTTCATGCCAAACTATACATTGAAGATGCGGCTTGGTGAAAACTGATGATGCATTACAGCTTTTTGAAGATCAGGACATCTTATAACCTATTTATTGAATTAGTTGTTTGGACAGTATCACAGTAACAAATACAGTATTATTTGTCCATTCTGATTAATACCCATAGCTTGAGTCTGAAGATTTGTTTGATGCCCCACTGAAAGTGTCAATCCAGTGAGGTTACTGCTTTGAAGTGGAGAAGTTCTCTGCTAATAGATATGAGATGGAGATGGGTGAGTTCAGTTCTATGCTGCTTTTAGTAATATTCAATCAATATCACAGTGGGGTTGGGGGGTGGGGGGTGTTTAAACACCAGAAATGGGTTTCACACATTGTACCCTTTTGGGGAATCCAACCCGCGTCCAAAGTGTGACGATAGAATGCTAGTTCTGAATCAAAGCTTCGAAGCTGAAGGGTCCACTGGTCCTAACTGAATGGATATAAAAGACACTGGGTTATCGAGGATGGGATTGTTTGTATGGCACTGCAGAGGGTAACTCCTAGGTAGTTGTATAGAGTTCATTCTAGAAGGCCCATGAAATATGATGAATCTTAGCTACAGTGTGTCTAATACTAATTCAATGGCTATCATTTTTATCCCCCTGCATGTAATATAGTCGACACCTTGTCCGTCTGTCTGTCCGTCCGCAATCATTTTGTTCCCGGAGCATAACTCAAAAACCGTTCCATATTTTTCAACAATAATTGGTAGATATATCAGACAGAACCTAAGGTGGTGCCTTTTGCTATTTACAGATATTTGTCATTTTTATTTTTCTCGGTTTCCATGGAAACGTTTTGGAGTTAGTCTTAAAGGGAGGGGTGGGCTTCGTTTCTGGAGCATAACTCAAAAACCGTTCAGTATTTTTCTGCAAAACTTGGTAGATATATCAAACAGAACCTAAAGTGGTGCATTTTGCTATTTACAGATTTTTGTGATTTTTTGTTTTCTTGGTTTCCCTGGAAACGATTTGGACTTAGTTTCAAAAGGGAGGGGTGGGATTCGTTTCCTGAGCACAACTCGAAAACCGTTTAATATCTTTCAACAGAACTTGACAGATCTATGAGGCAGATCTTGATGCGGTGCCTTTTGCTATTTACAGATTTTTGTGATTTCTTATTTTCCCGGTTTCCATGAAAACGATTCGGACTAATTCTAAAATAAATCAAGCTGGACTTTAAGTAACTGTCAGATGATTTGTTCTTTCAAATATGTGGGGGCCGGGGGGATATGTCATCTTCTGATGACTCTTGTTACCAAAGGGAGTGAAGGTGTTAGGTTAGTGCCTTCCATTTATAGGCTGTTTGAACGTACAGATGAATTTCACATTAAACAAAAAAGTAAATCAAATAAAGTGAAATTAAGACTGTGATTCTCATAATTTTACCTTGCCAGTTGAACTTTTAAATCTCAGAATTTTATTCAACTTAGGATAAAAGTTGTTTAACAAACGATCATAGTTTGTTAAACCTTGTAGCCTTGTGGTTAAAGTGTTCGCTCATCACGCCAAAGACCGGAGTTCGATTCCCCACATGGGTACAATATGTGAAACCCATTTCTGGTGTCCCCCGCTGTGATATTGCAGAAAGAAGCGTAAAAACAAAACTCACTCACTCACTCCAATTGGGCCCGGTTCTGTACAAGAGGATCCCTTTGTTGCACAGGACCCTCCAAAGGGTTAAAATCGTGAGATATGTGAGGCGGTGCTTAACTAAGTTCTTTGTGTATATTTTACATGCTCTCTAACTAATGTGATAATCTAGTTATGCTGTTTTTCTACCGTTCGCATATATTTGTTATTGACGTGTATTTTTCTCTCGTCACGATATGACGTTGTCATATGAGCGAAATATTCTCAAGCACGACGTTAAACCCAATTTCACCTCACCTCGTCACGATATGGCTGAAATAGTGCCATTGTGACGATGAATGTCAACTCACTCAGCATTGAACAATTGTGGCATGAGCGAAGACGCTAACCATCAAAGGCACTGCAACAGCTGCAATGAGGTTAGTCTGTCTCACAGTCCTTAAAACCGCATTATTTTACCTTCCGCCCAGCTCTTTCTGCAAGGAGTAGCCTAGTGGTTAAAGTGTTCGCTCGTAACGCCGAAGACCCGAGTTCGATCCCCCACATGGGTACAATGTGTGAAGCCCATTTCTGGTGTCCCCCGCCGTGATGTTGCTGGAATATTGCAATGCTAAAGCCTTTATTGCAAGTCTTTGTTTCCTCAGGTTCTAATATTGCCGATGTGACGTTAAATTTTAACTCACTCACTCCTCAGGTTCTGAATCTCCCATCTCATTGGGGCTCCTTTCCAATTTAAAAGGAATTATTTCTATTAAAAACAATATATATTTATAAACTAAAAGTTAGTCTGCGGTGTAGAGCATTGTACCTGCTACCATGGGGCTGTTCTTTAAAATGTGTGTAGTGACGCTTTCTGTTTTGTTATGACACGGACACTATTAAAGCAAATTTCAGTCTTCCACGGCGATTTCAGGTATACATTTCCTTGTTATGTCCTGTAAGTAAATATTCATATTGAAATCCAACACCCGGCATATTGCATCAGACCTGTGGCAGGCAAGGCGATGTTTTGGACCCTTAATCGTTCTAACTTGACGCTCATGTTGAAACACAGGACGGATTCAAGGAAGCATGCAGTAAGGTTTATGTGAGTAGATTATTGTTTTAATCGAGAAAAAACCTCTATGCCTAACATAAGAACTTCATATTGTAAATAAGTCTTAACGGTGTTTCAAACCACATGTCATTCAATATAATAGAGATAATGGTTTATTAGACGCGGTTACTTGCACTACGTGTTTGTAGTTAGTAGCTCACCGTGTGATCCAAAGCAGTTGTTAGTTAAGTAAGAGAATCAATTTGTTTGGCATCGCTTTGTATAGTCGCATTTCACAGCCTGTCTGAATGGTGCTGGAACCCCAGTGTTTTGCCAGTCAAAGACACTGTGATAAAACACGAGACATGCATGTTGTGTATAATGGATGCGAATGTGAAGTCTTGTCTCCGAGCATAGGAGCCTGGCACGTCAAAGGGACGAAACTCTTTTAAGTGAGTGAGTGAGTTTAGTTATACGCCGCTTTTAGCAATACTCCAGCAATATCACAGCGGGGACACCAACAATTGGGCTTCATATATTGTATCCATGTGGGGAATCGATCCCGGGGCTTCGGCGTGACAGGCGGACGCTTTAACCACTAGGCTACCCTACCGAAAATCATTAAACCCAAAACCCCCTATCGTTAGATTATAGATAATACCCAGAAATGCTTTTTCTACAGGTATGGCAACAAATTTAGAGAAGTTGGATTTTCCCTTAAGGTTATCATATATTGTTGAAAGAAACAAAGCACTGCATTGCATATGTGTTGAATAGATGTAGGGGATAACGCTGAGTAAGTTTTATGCCGCTTTTAGCAATAGTCCAGCAATTGGGGTGGGGGTGGGGGTAGGGGTGACACCAGAAATGGGCTTTACATATTGTACCACACATGCGGAAAATAAAACACATGACAATTCATTTAAACAATATTACATTGCGTTTACTATTCATAGTTACAGCCAAGACAAAGAAATTAATCTATAACCACTGCCAGAATTAGCTTTAATGAGTGGGATCGAGTTTCAGTGTTACGTGAGTTTGGAGCTTCAATGAAATTTTATGTCGACGTTTCCTGAGCCGATGTACTTTTTTTGTTTTTTTGGGGGGGAGGAGGGGGGAGATGTGAAATGAAATGGGGTTCAACGTTGTACTTAATAATATTTCGCTCATATGACGACGTGCATGCGTGTGTATGTGTGGCTGCTTGTACTAGCCCAGACTTACGCTGGTTTTATAGTGCCAGCTCACTGAGATAGCATACCGCAATTATGTAAGCGTGAATACCCCACTCAGACACATTGTACTTACTCAGAGCCGACAATTCCTTGAACCCAGTAATTCCAAGTACCATATTTTAACGTCTTTTGGTATGACGCGGCCGGGGAAAGAACCTGCGACCTTCCGCTCTCCAGGCGATCGCTCTTACCACTACACCACGGAGGCGGTTGTACTTTTCTGGACTCAACAGTATAATCGTCTCAGTGGTCTCATATCTGTACTCCGCTTGTCCCGATCTACGGATAACTCGCTTCTATATATAACGAGACTCAGGATCTGAAAATTAACGAGGGGCGGTGGGGCAGCTTAGTGGTTTAAGCGTTCACTTGTCACCCAGTTCGATTCGCACACAGGTACAATGTGTGCAGCCAATTTCTTGTGGCCCCGTAGTGATATTGCTGGAATAACGCTGAAAGCGGCGTAAAACCATACTTACTCACTTACTCACTTAAGTTAACGAGGCTTCGTTGCATATAGGAATGTTGTTTTTTGGCATGACCAGGAAGAACACGTTTTATGGATTGAGAATTTCTTTATTGCAATAGACGCGATGTTTTCGGTGTATATGGTAACACCGTCATGAAGCAAGTGATATTGTTTTTTGCCATATTACAGCTATAGTATGACGGCATTAAATAATTTAATCTGGACAAGACCACCCGTAGGCCACATTCCAATCCATCGTATTCGGGAGACGCGCAATGAAAGTCAGCAAATCTGAACATCCAATCCATTCAAGAGCAAGCCATGTGCTAAGCGACCGAATTGTTATCTGATTTACCCTATGCTAAAAGTCTAACACTGGATATTTTATGTCCTAACCAAGGCAGGCTGAGGGTCATCAGCCGACCATGTTTTACTTGTGTACCTAGGTGTTGTTGTACAAAACAACACTAGCGCTAAGTTACCCTTTAGTCTGTGTTAAGGTAGGAAAGTTCACCTTAGCGCTAAGTTACCCTTTAGTCTGTGTTAAGGTAGGAAAGTTCACCTTAGCGCTAAGTTACCCTTTAGTCTGTGTTAAGGTAGGAAAGTTCACCTTAGCGCTACGTTACCCTTTAGTCTGTGTTAAGGTAGGAAAGTTCACCTTAGCGCTAAGTTACCCTTTAGTCTGTGTTAAGGTAGGAAAGTTCACCTTAGCGCTAAGTTACCCTTTAGTCTGTGTTAAGGTAGGGAAGTTCACCTTAGCGCTAAGTTACCCTTTAGTCTGTGTTAAGGTAGGGAAGTTCACCTTAGCGCTAAGTTACCCTTTAGTCTGTGTTAAGGTAGGGATGTTCACCTTAGCGCTAAGTTACCCTTTAGTCTGTGTTAACGTAGGGAAGTTCACCTTAGCGCTAAGTTACCCTTTAGTCTGTGTTAAGGTAGGGAAGTTCACCTTAGCGCTAGGTTACCCTTTAATCTGTGTTAAGGTAGGGAAGTTCACCTTAGCGCTAAGTTACCCTTGAGTCTGTGTTAAGGTAGGAAAGTTCACCTAAGCGCTAAGACTATCTTGAGTCTGTGTTAAGGTAGGGAAGTTCACCTAAGCGCTAAGTTACCCTTTAGTCTGTGTTAAGGTAGGGAAGTTCACCTAAGCGCTAAGTTACCCTTTAGTCTGTGTTAAGGTAGGAAAGTTCACCTTAGCGCTAAGTTACCCTTTAGTCTGTGTTAAGGTAGGGAAGTTCACCTAAGCGCTAAGTTACCTTTTAGTCTGTGTTAAGGTAGGGAAGTTCACCTAAGCGCTAAGACTATCTTGAGTCTGTGTTAAGGTAGGGAAGTTCACCTAAGCGCTAAGTTACCCTTTGGTCTGTGTTAAGGTAGGGAAGTTCACCTAAGCGCTAAGTTACCCTTTAGTCTGTGTTAAGGTAGGAAAGTTCACCTTAGCGCTAAGTTACCCTTTAGGCTGTGTTAAGGTAGGGAAGTTCACCTAAGCGCTAAGTTACCCTTTAGTCTGTGTTAACGTAGGGAAGTTCACCTTAGCGCTAAGTTACCCTTTAGTCTGTGTTAAGGTAGGGAAGTTCACCTTAGCGCTAAGTTACCCTTTAGTCTGTGTTAAGGTAGGGAAGTTCACCTAAGCGCTAAGTTACCCTTTAGTCTGTGTTAAGGTAGGGAAGTTCACCTAAGCGCTAAGTTACCCTTTAGTCTGTGTTAAGGTAGGGAAGTTCACCTAAGCGCTAAGTTACCCTTTAGTCTGTGTTAAGGTAGGGAAGTTCACCTAAGCGCTAAGACTATCTTTAGTCTGTGTTAAGGTAGGGAAGTTCACCTTAGCGCTAAGACTACCTTAAGTCTGTGTTAAGGTAGGGAAGTTCACCTAAGCGCTAAGTTACCCTTTAGTCTGTGTTAAGGTAGGGAAGTTCACCTAAGCGCTAAGACTACCTTAAGTTTGTGTTAAGGTAGGGAAGTTCACCTTAGCGGTAAGACTATCTTGAGTCTGTGTTAAGGTAGGGAAGTTCACCTAAGCGCTAAGACTACCTTTAGTCTGTGTTAAGGTAGGGAAGTTCACCTAAGCGCTAAGACTACCTTTAGTCTTTGTTAAGGTAGGGAAGTTCACCTAAGCGCTAAGACTACCTTTAGTCTGTGTTAAGGTAGGGAAGTTCACCTAAGCGCTAAGACTACCTTTAGTCTGTGTTAAGGTAGGGAAGTTCACCTAAGCGCTAAGACTACCTTTAGTCTGTGTTAAGGTAGGGAAGTTCACCTAAGCGCTAAGTCACCCTTTAGTCTGTGTTAAGGTAGGAAAGTTCACCTAAGCGCTAAGACTACCTTAAGTTTGTGTTAAGGTAGGGAAGTTCACCTTAGCGGTAAGACTATCTTGAGTCTGTGTTAAGGTAGGGAAGTTCACCTTAGCGCTAAGACTACCTTTAGTCTGTGTTAAGGTAGGGAAGTTCACCTAAGCGCTAAGTTACCCTTTAGTCTGTGTTAAGGTAGGAAAGTTCACCTAAGCGCTAAGACTATCTTGAGTCTGTGTTAAGGTAGGGAAGTTCACCTAAGCGCTAAGACTACCTTTAGTCTGTGTTAAGGTAGGGAAGTTCACCTAAGCGCTAAGACTACCTTTAGTCTTTGTTAAGGTAGGGAAGTTCACCTAAGCGCTAAGTTACCCTTTAGTCTGTGTTAAGGTAGGGAAGTTCACCTAAGCGCTAAGACTACCTTTAGTCTGTGTTAAGGTAGGGAAGTTCACCTAAGCGCTAAGACTACCTTTAGTCTGTGTTAAGGTAGGGAAGTTCACCTAAGCGCTAAGACTACCTTTAGTCTGTGTTAAGGTAGGGAAGTTCACCTAAGCGCTAAGTTACCCTTTAGTCTGTGTTAAGGTAGGAAAGTTCACCTAAGCGCTAAGACTATCTTGAGTCTTTGTTAACGTAGGGAAGTTCACCTAAGCGCTAAGTTACCCTTTAGTCTGTGTTAAGGTAGGGAAGTTCACCTAAGCGCTAAGACTACCTTTAGTCTGTGTTAAGGTAGGGAAGTTCACCTAAGCGCTAAGACTACCTTTAGTCTGTGTTAAGGTAGGGAAGTTCACCTAAGCGCTAAGTCACCCTTTAGTCTGTGTTAAGGTAGGAAAGTTCACCTAAGCGCTAAGACTACCTTAAGTTTGTGTTAAGGTAGGGAAGTTCACCTTAGCGGTAAGACTATCTTGAGTCTGTGTTAAGGTAGGGAAGTTCACCTTAGCGCTAAGACTACCTTTAGTCTGTGTTAAGGTAGGGAAGTTCACCTAAGCGCTAAGTTACCCTTTAGTCTGTGTTAAGGTAGGAAAGTTCACCTAAGCGCTAAGACTACCTTAAGTTTGTGTTAAGGTAGGGAAGTTCACCTTAGCGGTAAGACTATCTTGAGTCTGTGTTAAGGTAGGGAAGTTCACCTAAGCGCTAAGACTACCTTAAGTTTGTGTTAAGGTAGGGAAGTTTACCTTAGTGCTAAGACTACCTTAAGTCTGTGTTAAGGTAGGGAAGTTCACCTTAGCGCTAAGACTACCTTAAGTTTGTGTTAAGGTAGGGAAGTTCACCTAAGCGCTAAGTTACCCTTTAGTCTGTGTTAAGGTAGGAAAGTTCACCTAAGCGCTAAGACTACCTTAAGTCTGTGTTAAGGAAGGGAAGTTCACCTAAGTGCTAAGACTGCCTTAAGTTTGTGTTAAGGTAGGGAAGTTCACCTAAGCGCTAATGCCCCCATTTCACTGGGCTACGACCTATCAAGACTAGCTACTCCGACTAGTGCCGATTCGTCACCTACGATATTATCGTTCTCAATCGGCCAGTTTTTGTTTATATTTCCTTTTCTACGCAGTATCTACGGTTAACCATCGTAATGGACGATGAAGAGACTGTAGACTTACGTATAAATGCCGATAACACCGCGATTAAGCACCCATTGTTGATACGATTTCACCAAGTATTGGTCGATTGGCTACGTTTAAATCACGTTTCTACGGCGATATATCTACGATTCACTTCCGATTCCTCATGATGCTCGCCGACACAGTGATGTAAAGCTTACGATATCGAAGACTCATTGCCGTAATTGCCGATTACACACAAAGATTACCGATCGACGCCGAGTACAGTACGTATAATTGCCGAGTAAGACACATAAAATCGGCCTCCAAACCACAAAGTGGTCCCGATTCTGGGCTATGAAAGCTGACGATGACAGCCGATTCTTATTATCTACCAACATGCTCACAGCTGCACAACTACTTCTGCTGCAACAACATTTGGGATTGGAGATAGATATCTATCAATACGGAAGGAACCAGGCACCAAGAAGAAGAAGAAACAGAATCGGTTTTGGGTACGTCCGTTCTTATCTGAACTCAGATTCGATGACACGTCTTCTTTCTTAATCAATCTGCAAATCCCTCCATATGTTTGATGAACTGCTTAATTCCCCGTCTCCCGGACTTGCCAAAAAAGACACCAACTTCAGGAAAGCTCTGCACCCTGGTCTGAAGTTAGCAGTTACCATAACGCATCTAGCCTCTGGAGACAAGCACCCCTCCCTCTCCTACCACTTCAGAGTGTCAAGACACGCCATAGCCATCTTTCTCCCAGAGGTGTGCCAAGCCATTGTAGACCACTTCAAGGATACAGTGATTGCATGTCCTGTCACTCAAGGGGATTGGACGACCATCAGTCTGGAATTCGAGCAGAGATGGAATCTCCCCCATGTTGTTGGTGCCTTCGTTGGTCGTTGGAAAACACATCGGGACTCGTAAGCCACATGGTAGTGGAAGCCCCTACCACAAGTACAAGGGTTTCTTATTCATTGTCCGGTTGGCCATTGTAGACGCTAATTACAGATTTCTATGGGTGGACGTCGGATGCCTGGGTCATATGTCAGATGGACAAATCTTCAATGCCTCAGAGTTGAAGGAGTGTATAGAAGATGGCAACATATGCTTGCACGAACCTGAACCATTGCCAAATGATGATCTGGATATGCCTTACTTCATACTTGCAGACGATGCATTTGCCCTTCGTCAATATGTAATGAAACCCTACTCAAGAAGAGGTCTGTCAGAAGCTGAACTGATTGCTAACTACAGGATCTCCAGAGCATGAGAGTCGTGGAGAATGCAATTGGTATTCTTGCAAATCGATGGCAATGTCTTCTCAACACTTTGCAACAGGGTGGTGGGGTGGGTGATCTCACCCTCTTCCTGTTGGCTGTTCTCTTTGTTCTTGCCATGTTTCAATGTTTCCATTACAACAGTTGAAATTAGAGTGATGTTGAGGCTCGCTGACTTGGTTGACACATGTCATCGGTTCCCAATTGTGTAGATCGATGCTCATGTTTGGTGATCACTGGATTGTCTGGTCCAGACTTGATTATTTACACACCGCTGCCATATAGCTGGAATATTGCTGAGTGCGGCGTAAAACTAAACTCACTCACTCACCAAGCGTGTCTGGAATAGTACAGGAGGGATCCGCACACGCAAACACTCATTCGTAACTACTCGCCTCGTTCCATGACCTACAAGAAGACGCCATCCGGCTTGCCGGAATGACACGAGTAGTTACGAATGGCAAACACTCCGTACGCACGTACACAAACACCCGTGTGCATGTACGCAGTTATGTAAGATCAAACATACTGAACGTCCAGCCAAATTCACCCAACGAATTCAAAGAAAGATTTCATCACTACGGATCATCTTCAGGGCATCTAAGTAGCACTGGTTCAGTTTCTAAGCTATGAGTACACGGAAGTATTTCAGCCTGCTTCAGCGCAGCAAACTCTGGGAACCAGGCTGCGATGTATTTGAACATGGACGCCAAAACCTGTTTATCTGTATACATTCCTCGAGAAAAAAACAATTTTTTTAGGACCGCCGTGATGTTCTAGTGAAAGTAGTATAGAGTCCTTGCCAAGTGCTACCGGAAGGACAGAACATGAAAACGGCGTGTCACTTCCGGTTCGTAGGAACTGTGCCCATGATGCGTACACAACTCCTCCCAGTAAAATTTCAGTGTTGTAATAATGCTGTGCCACAGACATGATTTAGGGTGCTTGGTTATGACTTAACATCGATTTAACGTCCCACGATATCGAGAGACCGTTTCGGCATTTTCTATAACGATAAAAATCGTAACACCGTTCTGTATGAATGCACATTGTCATTTCAGAAAGTGGTCAGTTGTTTCATATATTATTTTGGGGATTACACTTTCTTCCAAATTACAAATTCTAGAACTAGTTGTTTTGTTCTGATTCCTATCCGGTATTCGAAACAAGTCTCTCAGAGTCAGGCACCTAACCGGAAGAACGCAAAATCGGCTATCTAACCCACTCAGCCAGCGCTACTTTACTGAGATGAGAAAGTGTAATCTCAAATAGTTGTGTGAAAAAATGTGTATTCTTAGTACGAGTCTTTGTCGGACACCAATATGACAGGTAATTCAAAACTGTAAATATAATGTTTTGTGATTTTAATAATATATAGTGATTGCGTGAGTACGGACTGACTCCACCTTTAACAATATTTCAGCTATATTACGAATCCGGGTACATAACAAATAGGCTTTACACATTGTAGATATGACAAGAATCGAACCCGTTTCTTAGGCGTAATGAAGCTAGAGTTATGCACCAGGCAACCACATCGTCTTTGTATATATGTGTACAGAATCATGCTGACATCCAATATTTACAAACAATATTAAACAAATTTGTCCCAGCCGTGTCTGGGATTAACGAGTTAGTTTATCACGTGTTTCAAGATACTAGCTGTGCTCATTATCAGTGACCTTGATATTTTCCCGTGTAACTATTTTAAGAGTATAACAGTGCATGAAACTTAATTCCTAAGTCTAGATAGTAAACGGGAAATATTTTTCAGTTTAACAGCAGGAAATATTTCGTTTGAAATGCTTATTAAGAGACAGTCTGACAACTTGAATTTTAAACTGAACGTTTTCGAAACTAACACTAACCAACGGTAAGATATCGGTAAATGGGACTATATATACTCATGCCAATAATGGTTGTCACCCCTTCAAAAAATTTTAATTGAGAGGGGTGGGTGTGTGGGGGTTGGGGTGGGGAGGGGGTGACAACCATTATTGGCATGAGTATGTTTTAAATACAAATCGAAAAAACACCCCTAGGCTATAATCATCACTGAAAGAGACTATTGTTCTCTGAAGATTCAAACTATTCATGAACATGAATTATGAATAACTATGAAATGTTAAAAAAACCCAGATAAGCGTGTCCTGCCCTACCCATCGCAAACACATGCAAAAATGCAGGGACAGGGTGTTTTACGCATCTTCATCGATAACTAGATGTCTAAGTTTCCTTAACGATGCCCATATAAAGGAACCTGCACATTCTCAAGGACAAACGTAATGACAGACTTTGCTCGTCACATGTACGTATAAACACTCATGATCACCCGTGAAGAGCCGGGTTAGAATTGATCTTCAGCAGCCCGAGCTTGTCGGAAGAGGCGACGAACGGGTTCGGGTAGTCAGGCTCGCTGACTTGGTTTGACAGTGCTCATGATGTTGATCTATACATTGACTGGTCCGGACTCGATTATATTCGGACCGCTGTCATATAGCTGGAATATTGCTGAGTGCGGCGTTAAACAACAAATAAAACAAACATTGTTACACACACACATTTGATGGTATTCTAATACAACATTTTCCCTAGCACATAATTACTAAGGAAAACATGAATTTTTAAAAGCCTAATAGTTGAAGCGTTGTTTCGAGCTCGTCATGGGGAACTTCCTTTCTTTTAAACCCATAAAGGTACAACGTGTGAGACACTTAATTAGTGAGTCCGCAGTGATTTCAAGGATAATGCTTCTAGTAGCGTAAAACCTCACTCACTCACTCACTCACTCACACCTATGGAGGCGGTTGGGTAGCCAAGTGGTTAAAGCGTTCGCTCGTCACGGCGAAGACCCGGGTTCGATTCCCTAAATGGATGCAATGTGTGAAGCCCATTTCTGGTGACCCCCGCCTTGATATTGCTGGAATATTGCTAAAATCGCCGTATAACTACACTCACTTGCTAATATGCTTTTTTTTTACAGGAGGCAGTAATCACATTCCTGCTGGGGGAATGGGGATTGACACTAACACAACCGCTCTAGTCCTGATATGTTTGGCAGGGAGTGTTATCGTCATCCTGCTCCTTGTAGTCATGTGTTTCCAACTAGGACTAGTTGACAGGTGAGTGACTCTGCACAACACTCTACAAACAAATAACTGGTGTCTGTACCTTGTCACTGTAATGCAACGTGCGAGACATTTTCAAATGTTCAACTAAATCAGTTCTAATTACTTGTTATTTTGCCGTAAATATAACATCACCGCCAAAGAAAAAAACGGTTATCCCACAAGATCAGTTTCATGTCAATGGGACTAACATTGTATGAATGGGTCACTGAATATCACCAGTGATACAAGCTGATCGGACAATAGTATGCGTGTGTAGCAGTCACTCCAGCATTACAATAAGTCTTGCGATAGGTACATCATCGAACAATGGTGAAACGCCGCATGCCATACACTCCAGCATTACAATAAGTCTTGCGATAGGTACATCATCGAACAATGGTGAAACGCCGCATGCCATACACTCCAGCATTACAATAAGTCTTGCGATAGGTACATCATTGAACAATGGTGAAACACCGCATGCCATACACTCCAGCATTACAATAAGTCTTGCGATAGGTACATCATTGAACAATGGTGAAACACCGCATGCCATACACTCCAGCATTACAATAAGTCTTGCGATAGGTACATCATTGTACAATGGTGAAACACCGCATGCCATACACTCCAGCATTACAATAAGTCTTGCGATAGGTACATCATTGAACAATGGTGAACACCGCATGCCATACACTCAAGCGTGTTTAGGGTAACCTAGTAGGACGTCATGCCGAAGACCCGGGTTCGATTCCCCACATGGGTACAATGAGGGAAGCCCATTTCCGGTGTCCCCCGCCGTGATATTGCTGGAATATTGCTAAAAGCGGCATAAAACCCATGTGTGGTAAGGGACTGGGGTGACCAAGCCGTGGAATTTGATGCGAATAGTCCCGATAGTGATCACTGTCCATGATTCAAGATCACGATTTCGCCAAAGCTGTAAACGTTCAAGAAGTACATCGTTGTAAGTCCATGTTTAGTGTGACGTTGACGCTATATATTTATCGACTGATAAAATGAGGATTTAAACTCGAATATTGTTTGTTATAGTTATTATATGCAACCCCTTATGCTGACCATTGGTATATGCTTTCCAGAATAAAGAAGTCACATCGGACACGTTCCAGGAGGTCAAAACGAGAGACATCTGAAGGGGGCGTCACACAGAGCACACCAACACCAGGGAAAATCAAAATACAACCTTTAAGCCCCACGTATTCTTTATCATTGGAAGATCCTTTGAAGACGTCGAACGAACCCGGTCTGAAGCCGTCAAATGAACCGGTTGATACTTTGGTTCAAGATGAATTTGATTCATCTCCAGAAGGAACGGAATGCAACATTTATGAGGAATGTCTTGAAGACGCATCTACTGCAACTGAAACTGGCAGAGACCTCAACACATCCATCTACCTGTACATGAACAAATCTACAAGAGACGTCTCAACAAGAAGCTCTAATTGTGTCCCCCCGGGTACATCATACCTGGTTGATGACCACTCAGGAAGTAGTCACAGGGGATGGACTGATCGGCACAGGTCGGTACCCGTAGCCCGTTGTCCTCCGTTATGGACAAATCCTGAAGTAGAAATAATGACAAATGAAATTCAGAGACCAGAACAAGAGAGAATCAAACCACGCTTAACACATTCAGTTTGTGAACCACTACGAAGCCCTCTTTCCCTTCCACCTAGGCCATCGATTGACATTTCAGACCATGATGAATCCTTTGGATCAGCTGAAGATCTGTTCAAAGGGGGATGGTGGAAGTCAACAGAATCCTTAAACAAAGGAGACAGCATCGATGATGATGTCTTCAAAGACGACGATTTAACCTCCGCAGTTTCACAGAGCGAAGACAAGATGGCATGGCGGAAATCAAAGCAATCACTGAAGGAAGATAGTCTCAAGGCTAACTCACCCTTTAATGGGGATTGGCGTCTATCCAAACAATCTTTTAAGGGAGATCTTCTGAAGGCAGACGGCACATGCAATAGGGATTGGTTGTCATCTAATCACTCATTAAAGGTCGATGGCTTCAAGACTGATAACATCTTCACGGGGAGATGGTGGGAATCAAAGGAATCATTGAAGATAATTGAATTTGAGAATGAGGACATCAAATTTAGAGATCCCATAAGAAGAAAATCTTTCTCTGGTCCAAGTTGCTCTTCCAGGAGTGTCTATGTATACATGAAGACAGGCACATCGCCTGATTCTGGTCGATCTCCTCCAGAAGACAAACGAAGAAGAAGCAAAAGCTTAACCCTCCCGGATGTCTTTAAGGAAAGTACCGGGTATCAAGCAGATCTGACTCCCCCTTCCCTGTCTGTGTGGTACCCACCAGACTTTACAGAAAGCCTTCAGTCTCCCCCGCCGCCTCACTCACCACCCAAACCGTGTACATCCCCAAACTATGTCAACTTTCGTGGAACTCTGCCAAACCGATTCTGACTGGTTAAACCACGACATATAATGTACACAGCAGTGTGTAATTGAAACTGTAGATGTGTGACTTTCAACCATATACTGCAGTACTTTTGCCGATGTGAAATGGTACCTTCAAGCGATTCTGAATCGCACTGACATTGGTCTTTTCTGATATTGGGGCGGTGGGGTAGCCTAGTGGTTAAAGCTCTCGCTCGTAACGTCAAATACCCGGGTCGATTCCCCACATGGGTACAATGTGTGACATTGCTGGAATATTGCTAAAAGCGGCGTAAAACTAAACTAACTCACTCACCTCTTTTCAGGTATTCCCCCAATGTTAAAGGATGCGACGAAATCGTGTTGGATGACCAATATACGCATCTGACTAAGCTGTGACAATTATGTGTATTCAACCTTCGTGCAAGACGAGGATCATGTGGTTTCAAATGTGACCAAAACTCCCATGAACCTTCACTAAGCGCCACTCACCCAGCTTCCGTTGAACGCTAAACTTTCAGTTACGATAGTGGTCTGATCTTGGGTTTTGAATCACGCACGCACGCACGCACACACAAATCATCTCTGGGCCCTAACACCACCCCCCCCCCCTTATCTTTCTCTCCCTCTCTCACACACACACTACATTAAGGTAAGACGTGTTATAACTGTAATGCCCTTAAAAACCTGGTTAAATTCAACTTGTTCATTCACTAAATTACGACAACACGAATATCTCCCTTTTATCAGAGTCCATCCTCAACGATGTCCTAGCCTAAACCACTAACTCTCCCATCTATCACCATCACTATACTATTTTCTTTGTCACATTGATTCTCTTCCCTTTGCCCTCAACTTCACCTCAGTCCATTCAATGCTATCACAGACCTGTGAAGGTCCGGGTTAGAATGAACCTTCAGTAACCCATGCTTGTCGTAAGAGGCGACTAACGGGATCGGGTGGTCAGGCTCACTGACTTGGTTAACACATGTCATTGGTTCCCAGTTGCGTAGGTCGATGCTCATGCTGTTGATCACTGGATTGTCTGGTCCAGACTCGATTATTTACAGACCGACGCCATATAGCTGGAATATTGCTGAGTGCGGCGTAAAACTAAACTCTCTCACTCACTCATTGCTATCACATCTTCATCAATATCTCATTAGAATGGTCACTGTCCTTTCCTTCATCCCAGATAGCTGAGAAAACATCATCATCGTCGTCAACATCTCCACGTCGTTGCCGTCATCATCATCATCATTATCATCATCAAAAGTCCCTTTACAGTTTATAGTATACCAAGGATTTCTGTTTTCCGCTGCAGGAGAGTATGTACAGCACATTTTCTCCTTCAGATTAAGAGTTGCTCCCCTTTCGTCTACCAGAAACCTATGTTCGTATATCAGAAAGACAGAGTGTGTTTTTGGCGTGTAGGCACAGTACCTGTGGTAAATAAAATAAGATCTGCATCACTCTCCTCCCACATCCAGCTCACGTGCTGTGACGTATGACATAACTGGAATACTGTTCAATACGCTGTTCTACTAAATACACTCACTCACTCGCCTTTAACGTCATTCTTCATCCAACAACTTCATTAGAGTCGGTGGAGAAGCAGGTGTTACACACGTTTCATTCCTATTTTCAAAGAATCAGGGTATAGACATCGGTGATCTCGTTGACTGAGTATCGTCGTACTCCGTCCGCGTGGATGGTTGCTCATTGTGTCCATCACTGGGTTGTCTGGTCCAGATCAGAGTATTATAAGGCCGCCGTCATATAGCTGGAGCATTGCTGATTACAAACGTATGAGATAACATCGGTTGCATTTCCCCACCTGCAGTAAAGACTTTGAACAGCAAATATAGTCGAGATGAGAGAGTTTCGTTTTACGCCGCTTTTAGCAATATTCCAGCAACATCACGGTAGGGACACCAGAAATGGGCTCCACACATTGTACCCATGTGGGGAATCGAACCCGGGTCTTTGGCGTGACGAGCGGATATTTAACCGCTAGGCTACCCCACCGCCCCGACAGTCGAGATGGATAGTTCGCATGAGGAGTCAAGTAACAAGTGAGTGAGTGAGTGAGGTTTTACGCCGTGAACTGATGTGGGCAATCGAGCTCGGGACTTTCGGTGTGGCGAGCGGAGGCTTTAACCACAAGGCATGAGACAATATATATAAATATATAGAACCATTACTGCATTTTATATTTGCGTGTACAGTACTTAATTCATGGAGCAACTACACAACAGAAAGGGATGTTAAACCTAGCAGTTTTGTTTATCATGCATGTAAGTTCAGTTTCCAAATGTAAATATACGTATATGTTTCAATACAACGCTTTCATACCTACACTAATGATATGTGATAATTGTTATATATAACCTGACTCCAAAATAAAGTTATAAAAAGCCATCAAACGTTTTTGCAATTTATAAAACATATTTCTGTGTTTCCCGGGTGGACGACGAACCTGCCTCCGATATAACCCGTGATTGTATCGAATGCTCACTTGAACGTCCTCTGAAGATACGTTATATACATTAAGTTAGAGTGACTACGGTATTCGCTTTACTGAACACCGTGCTTCCCTTTCGACAGGTCATACAATAGCTTTTAGTATACAACAGGAGTGCATTATACAAGCCTAAACGTGGATACACATTTACTGTCTCATCATTGATAAGACTGAAATGACTGAGGACGATGAACAAGCAAATACAAGTAACAAATAGTCATGTTATCAATCCACCCATTAAACATAACTTAAACATAAAGAATCAAATGCTATTTACATTCCACAAGAAAAGAAGAGGAAGTAAGAATACGTATATACAGATGCCCTTGAGCAACGTGTGCATTCATGACAGCAGAATGATCTGGATAGCTCCACCCTGCTCGTATATTACCGGGATCGGGTGGTCAGGCTCGCTGACTTGGTTGACACATGTCATCGGTTCCCAATTGCGCAGATCGATGCTCATGCTGTTGATCACTGGATTGTCTGGTCCAGACTCGATTATTTACAGACCGCCGCCATATAGCTGGAATATTGCTGAGTGCGGCGTAAAACTAAACTCACTCACTCACTCCTATATTACCTAAACCGTTGATGAGGAAGATCGCACAGTTTGCCTTGATTGGTTAAACTGTATCCTTATTGTTTAATATTCATGGCAGACAGAGGCTTAGTCTCTGAATATATTGAATTTTGATAGAAACAAATAATTCCAGTTAAGAACCCCTGTCAGACTTGAGATTCTGAAGTAAATCAGAATTGCTTCATTCAGGTACGTGGAATTCAGAAAACCTGAAGGGTGGGATGAAAAGGGAAAACTATCTGGTCCGGGAAGCGCGATAGAGACTGATATTCATGGCTGATATCGAGTTTACATATACTTCCCTTTCATTTGTTGATAGTGAATTTAACAATGCTCAGATAGTTAACTAATAAAGACTGGAAGGAGTCTTGAACAAAGACGCATAGGTCTTTGTATTGACCAGTCCTGGGGTGCTCTTATTTCAACAGTGGCTGTTTACCGTGGCTCGGTTGTGTATCAATCTGAATAATAGATTTTCTATTCAAAGAACGGAAATTAGATGAGACATTTATTAATCATAATAACAATGTCGTCTTTTTCAGACGTCTCCGAAGACATGCCATGACAACAAGTGAAATGGTGCCATTTGTTAAGAAATTTCATATCATTTGAAGAGATATATTTGTATTACTATTTGATACACACCAGAGAAAAAAATTAACGACTACAAATTTCTAAATCAGACTTCCTGCAAGCATATCCCTGAAGGATACATAACGTATACATGCTCTGTGAACAGTTTCCAGGTATGGTTCCAAATCTGAGCCCATCACGACGTAAGATTAAGCAAGTTTACGATGGAGTACAGGTGTACTGTTTGCATACTTTTCAGACAGCTATGCATCGAAACCGCACGGAGGTTAACTAAACATTCCAAGTCTGTTACAAGTAATCAGGTTGTCAGTTTCCCCTTCACAATCAACATGAACATTGAAAGAGTATATTAAAATGTATAGAGTATCATACGTACAGCACTCCAAAAATTTCTAGTCTGTGGCACACCCTTGTTAAGCAGCCATAACAGACAAACAGCTGTAAACAAACATGCAAACAAACTAATGCTAACATCTGGGTTATATTTGTAAGATATAATTTGGACTCTTGAGAAAGCTTTCAAAAGTGACTGTAGTATTTCAAATTGGTTTCCAAATGTCGACTCAATTACTTTCAAGAGTTTCCAACCCAACTGAAAGTAATGTACATGTGACCCTCTGTAAAACTCAACACCGGGTATCTCCATGACACAGTCGAATAGGTTGGATGTATCATTAACGCTGAATGACATATCAAATGTAAAAGATGCATCTATTAGCCCAACGGAAAGAGCCTTCTTGACCACCCAACAACAGGTGTGATGGGCATCCCAATTGCCCGAGGACTTGTACTTGTCCCACCACTGCGCAACAGCCACCTCGTTCAGTTTGTGGTTCTCAGGTATAATCACCGCATAGGTTGGCAGTGAATCCTCTCTTTCGACGTCTTCTACAAAAGTGCGAGGAATTCCAGAGGAAGGTTTTAACCGTTGTAAAATCTTATCCTCCTTGGGCCACCAGCTGATATATTTCTTATTGCCCAGTTGCAGAGATGCGTGGCCAGCACGGAAGGGTTCTGTTGTTAAAAGCCATATGTACACTATATTCCGATTGTCTTTGTCGAGAGGGATTCCCATCCTGCAAGAGATACTTTGGTCAATACATCTTCCAAATATAGTATGTCCATAGCTGATCTATTTCGGATATTTCCTTTCAAATTTTCTCTAAGAATGAAAATGGAAAATGCGTAAATCTTGCAGCCTTTGCTTTCTCAGTCTAGCAATTTTAAAGACGTTTGCAGTTCCAACAATGCATTAGAAAAGAACATAGAAGTGTGGTTAATACAAGGTCAAAATATTGAGAAAACTTTACATAGGTCCTACAACTAATTGAACAAACATGGCTAACTGAAGGTCATAAATAGTTTTTTTAACGCTGAGATGACAGAGTCATCTAGTGGCAAAGACGTAAGAAGTTTTGGTTTTATTGGTTCAATGTGTTTTTTGATACAATAAGTTGGGAAGATGATAAGGACAAAGACTTAAATATTGATAAAAACGGAACATTTGAGTCTATCTACTATAAAAAATGAAAACATCCCTTTCATAATTAATGGAAACATATGCTCTTTGGGCAAAGGTTAAATGTATTGTACAATTCTGACTATATCAGTAAATGTGTTTAGGGAGCAATGACTAATGAATCTAATATAATAACAGATGTCAACTGATCGCCTAAACAATCAAGGAAACAGACATGTACATTTATTTATTTGAAAGCATTACTACGGAATGGAATGCTGATGAAGCAACTTAACGCCATGTACAGTACATGCTCAATTTACCTTAGTAGTGAAGAAATGTAGACAACTAAGCCGGAACTGCTGGAGACTGCTCGACACAGAGGGGAAGCTGGAAAGTCACAGAAGAAGGCATTGTTTAGCGACTTAAAAATTGCGCTGTATCTAACAATTGTATTGTAAAACTAACTACGTTCACAAAGTAAAACAAATCAATGCAATAATCAATAGGAACAATCAAAAATATTAATAAGATTAATCATTATTATTATCGAGTCCTTTTTCTACTTGTTGTCAAGATATCAAAGTCATGGATGAATCAGAACACAAAGTTCACCTCAACGATGAGAAGACTGGGTCGGTACTCATAGGCCTTGCTAGTAGATGCAACAAATGTCGGCTTGACACCATCCAAACTGGAGACCCGTTAGTTCCTATCTGCCAGCGTGAAGAACCTTGGCATAGTTATAGACTCAAACCTTGACTTGAACAAACAAGTTAGTCAGTTTTCTCAATCTTGTCAGCTACAGCTAAGAAACATTGGCAAAATTAGAAGATGTCTGACTAAGGATGCTACGAAAACACTTACCCTTTCACTAACAATATCAAGGATGGATTATTGCAATAACCTCCTTGCCGGTTCTCCAAAAAATGTCATCAGAAGATTGCAATCAATCTAGAACAAAGCAGCCAGACTTGTTTCACTCTCCCCAAAATCAGACCATATCACCCCGATCCTCAAAGAACTTCACTGGTTTCCTGTTCAACAGAGAATCAATTTTAAACTTCTCTGTCTTGATTATCAGTGTCATTCTCATATTGCTCCATCTTATCTCTGTGACCTCCTCCAGCCCTACATTCCATCCAGATCGCTCTGCTCAGAATCACAACTGCCATTCTCTGTGTCTAAAATCAAACTGTGTAGTTATGGACAACGGCCGGGGCTTTTCCCCATTCAACAGCCTGTCAGTGGAACATTCTCCCTCAAGAACTACGTACTCCAACCTACTCTTCTTTCCGGATATCTCTCAAGACTCCCTTGTTCCGTCAAGCATTTGCCTGAACACTCCCTTTCCTGCTTAGCGCTTTGAGCAAGATATTCATCCTGGAAGGGCACTATATAAGTGGACTATTATTATCTAATGGTATTGGCATGACATTTGGACTCGACAAATGTAATACTCTTCATTTGAAACGAAGCATGGTAATTATGATGGATCGGTCAAGTGACAGGTGGGAGGGGGTTATTGAGCATCTTGTGGAAGATCAGGCCTACATCTCTCTGGGAATGCAAGTTCGAGACAAGCTCCAGAGTGTCCAGATTCAAGACAAACTTCGGGCCGAGCATAACACTCGCTTAAAGACAATCTGGAGCTCAGAGTTAAATGCTCGAAACATTTGCTGTGCCATTCCTTTAGTATTCCTGTGGTGTGGTGGATTGGACAAAAGTGTGTGGTGAGGGTAGAATTGGGGGTGGGGTGTGTGTGTATGTGTGTGTGTGTGTTGAGGGTAGAATTGTGTTTGTATTGAGGGTAGAACTGGGTCTATGTGGGTAGGGTAGAATTGGGTATGTGTGGTGAGGGTTGACTTGGGTGTGTGTGTTGAGGGTAGAATTGTGTGTGTGTGGTGAGGGTAGAATTGGGTACCTGTGGTGAGGGTAGAATGGGATGTGTGCTGAAGGTAGAATTGGGTCTATGTGGTGAAGGTAGGATTGGGTGTCTGTGGTGAGGGTAGAATGGGGTGTGTGAAGTAGGGTAGAATTGGGTCTATGTGGTGAAGGTAGAATTGGGTATGTGTGGTGAAGGTAGAATTGGGAATGTTTGGTGAAGGTCCAATTTGGTCTGTGTGTTGGAGGTAGAATGGATGTGTGTGGTAAAGTTAGAATTGTGTGCGAGCTGAGGGTAGAATTGGGTATGTGTGGTGAGGGTAGAATCGGGTGTGTGTGGTGAGGGTAAAATTGGGTACCTGTGGTGAGGGTAGAATTGGGTCTATGTAGTGAAGGTAGAATTGGGTGGTTGTGATGAGGGTAGAACTGGGTCTATGTGGTCAAGGTAGAATTGGGTGTCTGTGGCGAGGGTGGAATGGGTGTGTGTGGTGAGGGTAGAATTGGGTCTATGTGGTGAAGGTAGAATTGGGTATGTGTGGTGAAGGTAGAATTGGGAATGTGTGGTGAAGGTAGAATTGGGAATGTGTGGTGAAGGTAGAATTGGGTCTGTGTGTTGGAGGTAGAATGGATGTGTACAGTAAAGGTAGAATTGTGTGTGAGCTGAAGGTAGAATTGGGTATGTGTGGTGAAGGTAGAATTGGGAAGTGTGTGGTGAAGGTAAGAATTGGGTGTGTGTGAGGGGTAGAAGGTAGTGTATAGTTGGGTCTGTGTGTTGGAGGTAGAATGGATGTGTGCAGTAAAGGTAGAATTGTGTGTGAGCTGAAGGTAGAATTGGGTCTGTGTGGTGAAGGTAGACTTAGATGTATGTGGTGAGGGTAGCATTAGGTCTATATAGTGAAAGTAGAATTGTGGTGAGGAGGGTGGAATGGGTGTGTGTGGTGAGGGTAGATTTGGGTGTGTGGTGAGAGAAGAATTGGGTGTGTGTGGTGAGGGTGGAATGGGTGTGTGTAGTGAGGGTACACTTGGGTGGGTGTGTTGAGAGTCGAATTTGGTGTGGTGAGGATAGAATTGAGTATGTGTGTTTAGGGTAGAATTGGGTGTGTGTGTTGAATGTAGAACTCGATATGTGTGGTGAGGGTAGAATTGGGTGTCTGTTGTGAGGGTAGAATTGGGTATGTGTGGTGAGGGTACACATGGGTGTGTTGAGAGTCGAATTGGGTGAGTGTGGTGAGGATAGAATTGAGTATGTGTGTTTAGGGTAGAATTGGGTGTCTGTGTTGAATGTAGAACTCGATATGTGTGGTGAGGGTAGTTGATTGGGTGTATGTGTGTGTGAGGGTAGAGTCCAGGTGGGTATGTGTGTGGTGAGGGTACACAAATGTGTTGGTCTATGGATGTGGTTAGGTAGAATAGTAATTTGTGTGTGCTGAGGTATGTGTGTTGTAGGGTAGAATTGGGTGTGTGTGGTCCTATGTGTGAGGCAGTGAATTTAGGTCTAATGTAGTGGGTAGTGTGTGTGAGGGTAAACTAGGGTTGGGTGTGTGTGAGGGTAGTTGGGTGTGTGGTGAGGGTAGGGGTCTATGTAGGGTAGAATTGTCTATGTGGTGAGGGTAGAATTGGGTGTCTGTGTGTGAGGGTAGGGTAAGTGGGGTCTGTGGTGAAGGGTAGAATTGTGTGTGATGAAGGGATGTGGATGTGTGTGTGGTGAGGGTAGAAATTGGGTCTGTGTGGTGTAGAATTGGGTACGTGTGGTGAGGTGTAGAATGTGGTGTGGTGAGGGGTAGAATGGTGTATGTGATGAGGGTAGAGGAAAGTGTGGTGAAAGTAATGTGTGGTGAGGGTAGGGTGGAATTGGGTGTGTGTGGTGAGGGTAGGTAGGTGTATGTGTGTGGTGAGGGTAGAATTGGGTGTGTGTGTGAGGGTAGAATTGTGTGTGTGTGTGTGAGGGAAGAATTGGGTGTGTGTGGTGAGGGTAGAATAGGTGTGTGTGTGTGTGTGAGTCTGTGGTGTGAGGATTGGGTCTGTGTGGTGAGGGTAGAATTGGGTGTGTGTGTGTGGTGAGTGTGGTGAGGAAGGTTGGGTGTGTGTGGTGAGAGGTAGAATTGGGTGTGTGTGTGTTGAGGGTAGAATTAGGTGTGTGTGTGAGAGGTAGGATTGGGTCTGTGTGGTGAGGTAGAAGTAGAAAGGTGGGTCTATGTGGTGAATGTGTAGAATTGAAGTGTCTGTGTGTGAGAGGTTAGGAGTGTGTTGGGTCTGTGTGGTGAGGGGTAGAATTGGGTGTGTGTGGTGAGGGTAGAATTGGTGTCTGTGTGGTGAAAGTAGTGTGTGTTGTCTGTGTGTGAGAGGGTGAATTGTGTGGGTAGAATTGGGTGTGTGTGGAAGTGAGGAGTAGGAGTAAGAGGGTGTGTGTGAGGAAATAGAATTGGGTGTGTGTGGTGAGGTGGTGAGGTAATGGGTGGGTGTGTGGTGAGGGGTAGAATTAGGTGTGTGTGTGGTGAGGTGTCAGGGTTGGGTGTGTGTGGTGAGGGTAGAATAAATTAGGTGTGTGTGTGTGTGTGTGTGGGTAGAATATGGTGTGTGTGGTGAGGGGTAGGAGTGGGTGTGTGTGGTGAGGGTAGAATGGGTCTGTGTGGTGAGGTAGGATTGGGTGTGTGTGGTGAGGGTAGAATGTGTGTGTGTGTGTGTTAGTAGTGAGGGTAGAAGTTGGGTCTGTGTGGTGAGGAGGTAGAATTAGAGTGGGTCTGTGTGGTGAGGTAGAAGTAGGTGAGACTTGGTTATGTCTGAGTGAAGGTAAATTGGGTGTCTGTGGTGAGGGTAGAATTAGGTGTGAGTGTGTGGTGAGAGGTATTAAAATTAGGTCTGTGTGGTGAGGGGTAGAAATGGGTGGTGTGTGGTGAGGGTAGAATTGGGTCTGTGTGGTGAGGTAGAATTAGGTAGTGGTGAGAGGTAGAATATAGGTCTGTGTGTGAGGGAGTTGGTGTGTGAGGGTAGGGTAGGGTGTGTGTGTGGTGAGGAGTGTGTGAAAAATTAGGTCTGTGTGGTGAGGTAGAATTGGTGTGTGTGTGGTGAGGGTAGAATGTGTGTGTGTGTTGGGTCTGTGGTGAGGGTAGTGTGTGTGTGTGTGTGTGAGGGGTGTGTGTGTGTGTGTGGTGAGGTAGAAATTGTGTGTGTGTGGTGAGGGTAGAATTGTATATGTGTGGTGAGTGAGGGTAGAATTAGGTGTGTGTGTGGTGAGGGTAGAATTGGGTCTGTGTGGTGAGAGGTATAATGGGGTCTGTGTGGTGAGGGTAGAATTGGGTCTGTGTGGTGAGGGTAGAATTGGGTCTGTGTGGTGGGGGAAGAATTGGGTCTGTGTGGTGAGGGTTAGGATTGGGTCTGTGTGGTGAGAGTAGAATTGGATCTGTGTGGTGAGAGAAGAATTGGGACTGTGTGGTGAGGGTAGAATTGGACGTGTGGTGAGGGTATGATTGGGTCTGTGTGGTGAGAGTAGAATTGGGTCTGTGTGGTGAGCGTTGGATTGGGACTGTGTGGTGAGGGAAGAATTGGGTCTGTGTGGTGATAGTAGAATTGGGACTGTGTGGTGAGAGTTGAATTGGGACTGTGTGGTGAGGGTAGAATTGGGTATGTGTGGTTAGGGTCGAATTGAGTCTGTGTGGTGAGGTAGAATTGGTGAAGGCATAATAGTGTGTGTGTGTTGAAGGTAGAATGTGTGTGTGTGTGTGTGTGTGTGTGTGTGTGAGGGAAGAATTGGGTCTGTGTGGTGAGGGTAAAATTGGGTCTGTGTGGTGAAGGTATAATTGGGTGTGTGTGTTGAAGGTAGAATGTGTGTGTGTGGTGGGGGTAGAAGTGGATCTATGTGTTGAAGGTAGAATTGGGTATGTGTGGTTAGGGTAGAATTGGGTCTGTGTGGTGAGGGTAGAATTGAGTCTGTGTGTTGAGGGTAGAATTGGGTCTGTGTGGTCAAGGTATAATTGGGTGTGTGTGTTGAAGGTAGACAAGTCAAAACATTGATTACACAACAGTCTCGTTTCCTGTTGACTGGGTTCCGTCCTCTTGTGCAACTTAGTACAATAACCAGTCCAGAATTTTGAGACCAAATCATTTAACTGGATACATAAATATAAATCAGTATAATATGACACATCTAAGCACTTGTATAGTGCAACACTACGCTCCGTCTAATCCTTGCAAACACGTCATGCAGCGTGCTCTGTCGTACAGCGAGCTCTGACAAACGGAAACCTGGAAATCGTTGAAATCTCAAAACGAGGCTCTGCCGCTAGGAAGGTTGGGCGGTCTGGTACGGAATTGATATTATATCAATCACATTGTGCGTTACAGAACTACACTGAATAAGCGCAAAAAATACATAACAGGTGTAACCAGTGTGCCAGGTGCATTGTGAATCATTTTACGACCTCATCAATCACATTGTGCGTCACAGAACTACACTGAATAAGCGCAAAAAACACATAACAGATGTAACCAGTGTGCCAGGTGCATTGTGAATCATTTTACGACCTCATCCACCAGGGGCAGTCTGTGACGTCTTAGTTAAGGTCATGCTGCCTACACCTCGCCATAAAATATAGAAATACGATGTTATTAAAGTTTATAATTAGAATTCATTTATAAATACCATTTTCTTATTAAACAAAATATTGGAATTCAGTGTAGCCATAATGTCTATTTTCCCTTTCACTCGAGAAAATTCGGATCGGCTGAAAAGTAGGTCATTGTCTGAATAGGTTAATGAGACTCATGTTTCGGTTTGATGTGTGTGTGTGTGGTGGGGTAAAAGAGGATCTATGTGTTGAAGGTAGAATTGGGTGTGTATAGTGAGGGTAGAATGGGTGCGTGTGGTGAGGGTAGAATTGGGTGTGTGTGGTGACGGTAGAATTGGGTGTGTGTCATCAGGGTAGAATTGGGTGTGTGGTGAGGGTAGAACACACACAGTTCACACGCATTTTACTGGTAACATCCCTGTGTTCGAGGTAATGAGGAGAGGTGCTTTAACGTTGGAACATTAATTAATGTACATGTTTACCTGCGTTGGTGTCTGGCTGCTGTGTGAGACCGCCTTGCATGTACCCCTGGCTGGACTTTGACGTGAGGGTAAGCAGTTTCAGTGAGCGCTTGTCTCACCTGTTCATTGTGTTGACATGACCCACTTTAAAACCAATCCATGTTATGATAAAGATCGAGCCGTTCGTCTCTGAATGCTATGGAGTACTGTAAGGGACATTCCCACAATCTCACGTTCTCGCGATCGCGACCTTTCGAAACGAGTTAAATGTTCCACAAGTGGGAGAACGCGAGATTCTCGCGCATTGGGCATATTTATCTCATTTCCAAAGCTCGAGATCTCGAGAATGTGAGAACGCAACATTACACCTTACAGTATTCCATAAAACACACATTAGTCCTGCTGTTTGTGCCATGTTGTGTTATTCACGAAGTGAGTGCATGTTGTTTCACGCCGACAGCACTGTCTGACGATCGAATCAGTGGTTCATGGCATCGATTCACGCAATCATCGTTAGTTCAATCTTATTCATACTGAAGGCCACAGGCCCATAGTATACAAGAACATAGTACACAATATCATAGAAAAGAATAATATATTCCCATCACAATATGTCATATCACATCAAAATGTATCGCATCATATAACATCGCATAACACATACTTTGTCGTATCAGATCATATCATAACACACCATATTACATCATATCATATCATACCATGTATCATATCATATCATCGTTAGCTGACACACGGATTAAACATCAGTACGCATCTTCTACGCAAAAGGCGCCTTACTTTCCTGGATACATATACATGTTTCAGTGCAGTCCTATCTGATCTACAGTAATGATGTGAGATAGTTTTTGTAAATAGCCCGTTTCTAAAATATAGTATAAAAACCAATTAAACTGTTTTTGCAATTTTGAAAAAAGTACTTTTCTATGATGTATGGATGTTTCACACGCGGGTGGACGATGAACTTATCTAAGATAAACCCGCGGTTGTATCTAATTCTGAATCCAAAAGCTGTGTGGACTATGATGCTTAGTTTTCAACACGATATTGTTCTCCTGGGTAACCGCTTTAAGTGGCATTTAGAACTTGGTGCAATGACCTTGACCCGTGAAGATCCGGGTTAGAATGGATCTTCAGTAACCCACGCTTGTCGTAAGAGGCGACTAACGGGATCGGGTGGTCAGACTCGCTGACTTGGTTGACACATGTCATCGTATCCCAATTTCGTAGATCGATGATCATGCTGTTGATCAATGGATTGTCCATTATTTACAGACGGGTGACATAAAGTTGGAATATTGCTGAGTGCGGTGTAAAACTAAAGTCTTTCACTCACTCCTTTAAGAAGAAGTGATGATGAGGTGGATGCAGCTCAGCCAGTTGTACGTTTCAAATTTTATTACAATAAAAAAAATAAGTGAATGACAAGCAAGCCGTAGCTCTGAAACGTCGTATAAAGATGAAAAGGAAGTTGTAAACATAGAACGTATCATGTATTCATGTTCGTTCAACTTCTGTATGCATTAAATCTAGATCTGCTTCATGTAAAGTTTTAGCATTGCAGAAAGAGTTGGACAGAAAGGAAAAATAACATGGTTCAGGGATTGATAAACCAATGTTCATGGCTAATATCGATTTTTACATATACTTCCCTTTCATTTGTTGATTGTAGACTTAACAAACTCGGAAAGTTTATCACTACTCATGACTTGATCATGTGATTACACTAACAACTAAACAGTTATTCATGTGTAGAATTGCTTTTTATCTAAACAATGTCATAAGAAATTTTTACTGTACTCTTATAACAAAAGAAAATAGCTGATTTTGAGGATTTGAGCTTGTTTATTCGTTAAGCATTCAGTGCAATTGCAAGAATTGATAGAACGAAATCAACTACATATTTGTTAACTGGTGTTGTAGACAAAAGCAAACGTTTTAAAGATTTCAAAATTTGCACAGCAGTTTTTATTACACTGCACGAAAATGTCGTCAACATAACACCAGAATTGTGACAATCATGTGCAACAACATTGTGTCCTGCGTTTGTCGACTTATTGGAAAATGGCGATACCTAATGTTGCCATAGGACGTCTTGAAGCTGGAGAGTCCCAGTCTGCAGATGATCTTCATTTAAAGATACAAAAGAGCCCTATATTTCGTTTATGTGATCGGTATACCCATTTCACACCAATCCAAGATCGCCCTAGAAGTAGTAGACCAAGAGTCAAACCCTGCACAAAATCATTGCATCCTGGTACTCAACTACGACATCTGCGCGCGACTGCCGCCGACTTGTGCCTTGTTTGAGGAGGGTATTGGACCAAGTAATCATAAATCGCCTGTGAGAGGTGGAGGTAGACCATAAGACCTTTATTTATCCCTCTGTTGAGACGTTTGTATCTACGACGCCGTATCCGATGGAGCAACACCGTAGGGACATTGCGATGAATGAGGATTTCCTCAACAACACCGAGGTAGAAGCATATTGAAATGTCCAAGTGAACATTTTGTCCTGGACTGCGATCAACAGGTCGACAGAATCGATGACTAAAGTGTGATGGTATAGGGAGCCATATCTTGCACATATGACTGGTGGCAACTTCAAGGGGAAGTGAACTGACCGGTACACAAAGCCAGCTGACGGCCAGGCAACATAACGGTTAAATCGGTAACTTGCGCATCAAGACACAAGAACCACACCTATACCAGCACCGCGCGAAATGGGTCAAAACGAGTTAAATGACGTCATTCGTTAATAAGGGCATCAATTATGTTATTTGCAAGGGACAGTACCCATGGTATTTATTGTAAACATAGAACTCTCAAAATGTGCAGAAAAAGAATCGATATAATGCAAAAAGTAAATTATTTATTTATGATATCTGTACTGCTTTGGCTATGAGACTGCTTGACAAACATTTTGTATGCAGAAAAAGTTCAAGACAAAATGATTAAATTTTGTGTGAAGTTTATGGGGCATCATGGACCAAATTATTCACCGTCACCTTCTTCCGACCACCTTCCGATTATCAACCGACATAGAGAGTCAGTTCAACACGACTCCACCAAGGCTCCACCACACTTCTCGTATCTTGTTGGTATCCTTCATGATTCAAATGTCAATGTATTGCCCTGTCAATGCAGATTTCCGGATGTGAATCCGAGAGAGCATCTATGGGATGAACACAGTAGACGTTGTACGTAAACGTCAACATTAGTCACAGACACTTCCACAGCTGCCGAAACGCTTTGCAGGAAGAAAGGAGGAGACTTCAACAGTACAGATCCCTAGACAAATTCAGTCTTTGCCAATTAGGGGTGTAGAGCAGTAATAACAGCATATGGTGGTCAAAACACGTACACAGGAACGCCCCCAACGTCAACCGACAGGACGACCCCAACTGCAGTTACATTTACATTTTCATTTTTGGGACTGTTCAAAGTAAATGAAATGTACCCATATAATTGGACACAGTAATTTTTCAATAGTATATATTGATAACAATATTTCATGTACAAAAACATCGGAACAGGAAAATACATACTGATTGTCAATTGATAGTGGTTGTTCATTCAACAACGACAGAAACTATGGATATCAATATATGAGGCCAGAACATTTCGAATAATGTCTTGAACTTTCAAACGTCTTTCTCCCCTTCAAGAGATATGAAATAACTTATTTGAGTCTAATCTCACCTATATGCAGTCTCATTATACTTTATAAACAAATGTGATGAAGCAGAATCATTTAAGTACATTAAACATGCAGATGGATGAACTGAGAGGACCCAGCCTTTACAATAATGTAATATGATATATATCAATCAAAGAAATTAACGACTAGGAATTTCAAAATCACATTTCCTGCAAGTATATCCTAGATGAATTCCTTACAAACACACGTCATAGACCATATATGGTTCAAGCCTATCAAGAAGTGAAATTAAGCTTGGTTACCATGGCGCACAAGTGTTCTGTTGGCATACTTTGCAGAGAGCTATGCACCGACACAACACGGAGGTTTACCAAAATATTCCACGTTTCTCAGTATCCCCTTTACAATAACACAAAAAATTAAATAGTATGTCAAAACGTATAGAGTATCATGTGAACAGCACGCCAAACACTTCCCCTCTGAGTCTGTGAGACACACTTGGTAAGAACGTAGGACCCCCAAGCAGCTACGCACAAACATGCAAACCAACGGTTGTAACCAGATGGGGTATAAGTGTAATGTACACGCTGAACTCTAGAAAGAAATTTTAAATATGACTCTATCATTTCAAATTTTACTCCAAATTTTGATTCAACAAATTTCAACGCTTTCCAAAGCAGCTGTACTTGAAATACACGTGTCCCGTTGTAAATCTCAACTGCAGGGATGGTTATGACGCAATCGACTAGGTTGGATGTGTCATGAACGCCGAATGACATATCAAATGTAAAAGATGCATCTATCAGCCCAACGGAAAGAGCCTTCTTGACCACCCAACAGCAGGTGTGAAGGGCATCCCAATTGCCTGATGACTTGTAGTTGTCCCACCACTGCACAACAGCCTCCTCATTCAGTTTGTGGTCCTGAGGTAAAATCATCCAAAAGGTTGGCTGTGAACCCTCTCTTCTGACGTCGTCTTCAAAAGTTCGAGGAATTCCAGATGAAGGCTTTAACCATTGTAAAACTTTATCCTCCTTGGGCCACCAACTGATATAAGTGTTATTGCTCAGTTGAAGAGATGCATGGCCAGCACGGAAGGGTTTTCGTGTCATGAGCCATATGAACACTTTGACCCGATCGTCGCTGTCGAGCGGGAATCCCATCCTGCAAGAGATAACTTTGTTAATCAATTTTTTCAAATATATTATATCCATAGCTGATCTATTCGGATATTTTCTTTCATTTTTTCTCTAAGAATGAACATAAAAAATGCATAAATCTTCCAGCCTTTGCTTTCTCAGTCTTGCAATTTCCAAGACGTGTACAGTGCTAACAATGCATTAGAGAAGAACATAGACAGATGGTTAATACAAGGTCAAAATATTGAGAAAACTGAACATAACTCCTACTTTTCACTGATCAAACATGGCTAACTTGGGTTTTTTTATACCTTGACTGAAATGGCAGTGTCATCAAGCGGAAACGACGTAAGAACTTTTGGTTCAATGTGCTTTTAAAAACATGATGCAAAAAAATGGGAGGATGATAAAGGCAAAGATTTAAATATTGATAAAAAGGGAATATTTGTGTTGAGTCCATCTGTGCTCTTTGGACAGAGGTTAATTCTGACTATATCATGTAAATG